GTCGGCCAGGGGGGGCAGGCTGGGGCACTCGGCGGCCAGGGCCACGCGCGCTGCCCACTGGGCGCCGAGGGGGAGGCCCACTGTGGACGGGGGCTTAGGCGCCCTGCTGCTCGCTTGCGCTGCTCCGTCGCCGTTGCTGCTGACGTCGCCGTCGGAGCTGCAGTCGCTGCCCTCGCGCCTGCCGCCGTGGTACCGCATGAACTGCTTGACGCCCTGCAGGTAGCAGTAGTGCTCGTCGTCAGCGATGGCCCAGGCGTCGGGGTCGCTGGCCTCCAACTCGTGGACCTTGCGCGCGTACATGTTGCGCACGCCCTCGGAGGCCTGCCAGCTGTCCTCGCAGATGTCGACTGCCCGAGCCCAGCGGGCTGCCGCTCGCTCGCCGAACGGCCGAGCCGAGCTGGCGCGAGGGGGCGGGGGTGGGATCACGCTGATACCCTCCGCAGATGCGGCCCCCCTTCCCGCCCCCGACGCCGACGCATCGCTGACGCCCTCTCCAGTAGCACTCGCACTGCTGGCTGCCGCTGCCGCTGCGAGGCTCGCGAAGGAGTTCACTTGAGGCCGGGGTGGGATCACGCTGTCCCCGTCCGCAGATGCGGCTCCCATCCCCGCCCCGTCAGACTGGCCCTCAGTGATGCCGACCTGCTCACCCTCGTCGCCATTGTCACCCTCGTACTGGCTGAGGCGCTCGTAGGCGTAGTGCGTGCAGAGGTCCATCCACTCTACCTTGTCCTGCTGCGCGTCGGGGGCGTGCAGGTGCGGCAGCCAGCCGTTGGCCAGTCGCGCCAGTGTGCGCCTGACGCCTGCCTCACCCACCTCGGTGGCACTCCACCCCCCCGCGTCCACTGGGCAGGTGGCAAGCCTGCAAAGCACTGGTGGTAGGGGAGCGACGTCGCCTATGCTGTTCTCCGTCTCGGGATAGCCGTGGACGATGGGCGCGCCTGGGAGGGGCCTGCTGTAGTCGCCCCGCTCCTCCAGCCAGCGCCTGGACTCGTGGTAGCTGTCCACCGCCCTGTGCAGCTCCTCCTCCCAGCAGTCGTGGTCGAGAAGACCTAGCTGCTGAAGAATGCGCACCAGCCCCAGCCTGCCTGTGCCGCCGCGACGCCAGGCAGACTCGCATGCGTCCCTGGCCGTCCGCATGCGGCGCTCGAAGTTCTGGGCCAGGCCCGTCGCAAAGTGCGTCGGCAGCCCCAGCATGCGAAAGATGTAGGGCACGCACTTTTCCATCCACTCGTACTCGTCCGCGTAGTGGTCGGGGTTGCTGGGGTTAGAGACCCACCCGCGGGCACGGCGCCCGAGCACCCGCTTGTAGCGCTTGATTGCCCTGGCCTCCATCCGCTCCGCCTCCCGCTCGTCGTCGCCCTGCTGGCACTGGATGAGCACTGCCGAAGAAACGGCATCCGAGCCTCCGCCGACGAGCTGATGGAGCTGCGTGAAATAGTCGCTCAGGTGCATGAGCTTCTTACCCTTGTAGCTGGCCTTGGGCCCTCTGATGGGGCGCACCCTGGCCTGCGTGCCGAAGCTGAAGCTCGGCGGGCCCCCACGGCCACGGTGCAAACTGGCGTCGTCGGGCGGGATCTGGTAGATCCAGACGAGCTCGTCCTCCACTCCCTCGCACAGGGCGCGGTAGACCTCCGTCATGGCCTGCATGTCCTCCCCCGCGCCGATAGCGCCCCGCAACTCTTCGTGGTTCCACTCCTTGGCTGGCATAGGCCCATATGGCCTATCCTTGGGAAAGGCTGAGGGGCCCTTGACGCGGAATGACTGGCCAAGGCCGCCCTGACAAGCCAAGGAGAGCTTGACCCCGATGTGGGGCCTGCACGGGTTGGCGTAGCCCTGCTCCGTCATATTGAGGCGCTCGCACCCGCTGACGAGGTCCAGCATATCCACGCTGACGATGAACCAATCGAGCTCAGATGGCTCCTTGACGGGGGAGTGCTGGCAGGCGCCCTTGCCCGTGTCGACGACGTGGCCGCCCAACTTGCGCAGCCAATGCCCCGCGCGGAGGTGGAACCTGTCAGGCTCGACGTTCCAGTCCCCCGCCAGGACCCAGGGCTTGCCAGTGCGCTTCAGCGCGGCTCCGACCTGCTGCAAGACGCTCTGGCTGTGCTCGCCCACGTCGTCGTTGTCCAGGTAGACCGAGCCCAGCAGGAAACCTCCAGGCACGACGCCGTTGATGTGCACGATGGTCGCGCGGCCCTCAGCCGCGTGGCCGCTGTCCTTGCTGCCGCCAGCGCCTGGCCCGCACATGCCGCGCGAGGTGCGCGCGGCCACGCCAGCGCCACTGCTGACGGCGCGCTGGAGGCCTGCGCCGACCGAGCTCACCCCTGGGGTCAGCACGGCGCCCCAGCCAACCTGTCGACACCACTGGTCCTGCTCCACGGCGCGGTAGCCGTTGAGGTGGTGCTCATGAATGCACAGTGCGTCGCCGAGGTGAGCCTCCGCCACCGCCTGCTGTTGTGGGTCCTGCTGCTCGCCGAGGATGGTGGTGAAAGGGCCCCATCCGCTGCCGTTGAGGCTCACGATGGTGAAGTGAGGGCGGCTACCCCCGCTTCCCCCTTCTGCGGATCCCCGCGGAGCGGAGGCCTTGGAGGAGCTTCTGGGCACGAAGCTTGCGCATGGCGGCGGCTGCGGCGGCCTTGGCTGCGGCGTCGCCTGCTGCCTCGCCGTTGCCCGCCTCGCCCGCCGCGGCCTCTGCTGCCCCCTCCTCGGTGGCCTCTTCCTCCAGGGAGTCCAGGATGACGTCGACGTCCTTCTCGTCGATCTCCTGCTCGTCGCCGCTCCCGTCGCGCTCCGCCGCGGCACCTGCTGCGGCAACGCGCTGTGCCAGACGCCGCATCTCTGCGACTTGGCCGTCCCATTGCTCAGCGAAGCCAGGGGCGAGCATGCCTGAGCACTGATTAAGAGCGGCGAGGAAAGCGGTGGCTCGCTCCCCCTCGCTGAGTTGGGCGCCTGGGGACGCTGGGGCAACCGTCCCTCGCGGCCCTTCCTCCCGCTGCTGTGCTTCACGCTCGCGGAGCTGTTGCGCCAGGAGGTTGTCGATGAGCGCCTGGAGCTCCTTCTCGCTGGCCTGACTCTGCGCATGTGTGCCCTCCAGCTCGAGCTCGTGGGCCTGTATTTCGGCGAGCTGCTTGTCCGCCGCCGAGATCCTGTTCGCCAGGCCGCCGTGGTGGCCTCCTGGTTCTTCTGCTTGCGCTCCAGCTCACTGAGCTGGACTGGCGTGGGCTTGGTAGCTGCCAGCTCGTTCTCCAATTGCTGCGCCTCCTGCCGCTTGGATTCGAGAGTGGCATCCGTGCCGTCCACGCCCTCGATCTTCTTGATCTCGCTTCGTAGCTTGCCCAATCGGCGGGCACGTTCTGACTTGTCGTCGGGCTGCGACCCGACGCCTGCCGCCCCAGCGCCACCGCCATCGACTCCTGGTCCTGCTTGGCTGCTGGTCTCCAACTTTTTGACCTTCCTGCGCAACTGGTTGAGCTCGTGGCGTTCTCTGGCGTCCAGTTGTGACATGCCACTCCACCAAGAATTCGCACCAGAACCGCTTTCCCACCAGTCGTAGCCGCAGCTCCTGCAGACGTGCCGAGAGCCCCAATTCTTCTTGGCTCCGCACTGAGGGCAATCCCAGACCCTGGGCGCTGCACCGCTGCCACCCGCGCCTGGAGCTTGACCGCCCCGCTGTCCACGGCCGCTGCTGGCTTTGCCGCCGCCACCGCGCGCGGCACCTCGAGCACCACCTCCACGTCCTGCCATTGGTCGAGCCCGCCGAGGCTGGGCTCCCAATCGGGCGACTGGGGCCGGGTGTCGGTATGGTGATATGGAAAGAACTGTGGCCGCAAAGGCCTCGCTGAAAGCTTGGAAGATTGGGAATCTGACCCAAGAATGGACGCGACGGCTAGAGCCAGCCTCATGAGACCAGACATCTGCCCTGATCGCGCCATCTTGAGCCAAAATGGCTACGGATGATGATGATGATGATGATGATGATGATGATGATGATGATGATGATGATGATGGTGTCCACGCGTCGGTGACGAAGGCTTTGGAGAGGAACAAAAAAAACATGTTCGCGCGGCTGACTGGGGCAAGGGGCCCGCAAAGTAATATTGAACGAGGGATCGTGCCCCCCCAGCAGGCGCGCAAGGGCGTTCGAATGATTTCGACATGCGCGCGAAAGGCCCGTTTGGTCGAATTTGATGATCATGTTGCATTCGCAAGGGCGTCGCGCAAACAAAACTAAATTTCATATATGTTTCGGGGCGATCGATGTTAAAATCCTTGCGAAACGAAACAAGTTGTTGAAGGATTCCGGCATGCGCGCGGGATGACGCGCGCGCGCACATTTCGTCCCATGGTTGACAAAGGATCATTGAAAATGAACGGCATTGCTAGGGTATATTTTTTGCAAGGGATGATATGGGGAGGTGTCGATTTCGGCCTGGCTGGGATGGTGCGCGTTCATATTTAGAAGGAACGATGGGGCAGCATCATATGTAAACTGCCCATCCCCAGGGTGTGCGGTTAATATTTGGGGGGGACTCTGACTTGTTTTCGGTTAGGCAGGATATTCTATGTGGTGCGCAATCTATGTTGTCCAACCTATTTGGTGTGCAATCTATCTATGTGGGCGGGGTGACAAGGCGGCGAGGCGTCAACATAGCCGCCAGACCGTCACACCGGCCCAGACGACGGGCGGCGACTAGGCGGCGACGGGGCAGCAACGGCGGCAACATAGGCGCCAGAACGCAACACTGGCACAGACGACGGGCGGCGACGAGGCGGCGACGGGGCAACGACGGCGGCAGCATAGCCGCCAGAACGCCACACCGGCCCAGACGACGGGCGGCGACGAGGCGGCGACGGGGCGGCGACGGCGGCAGCATAGCCGCTGGACCGCCACACCAGCCCAGTTCCTCAGAAGGAAGAGACCCTAATTGCAAACACTGTTTGGACGAAAGTAAAACAATCAACGAGATTGTCAAAAAGACGTGTTCGACGACCCCTGGCACCTCAGCAAACTGGATCCCATAGGATGGGGACAGGAAGCCAGGCAGCTTGTAGTACTCGGGGACAATGTAGCCGATCGTGGCGAACATCGACACTCGCCCGTGCTTCAGCTCCACCTCGCGCCGTCGCGAGAAGTTGAAGGCGCTGCCGTCGCCTGAAAGGCCGAGCGGATCCCAGAAGCCCACTGGCGGCTGCACCCCCGTCTCGCTCTCGAAGGCGCGCAACGGCGAGTCCGTGTAGAGGGCCCAGTCGCCCCAAGGAGACCCGGTGAGGCCGTCCTTAGAGGGAGAAACAACTCCAGCAACATAAGCTTTCGGAGCTCCACGCGAAGTTTTGCATCGGCGCAGTGAGCCCAGCGCCGATCCAAGGAAATCGCGACGAGGTGCGAAAACTTGTGCACCATACATTCTGTACAGATGCATACATGCAGTGTATTGCTCATCGAGTCCTGGAAGAACATGCCAATGATGGCCATCATGGCCAGGCGGCCGTTGGCGATCTCCGCAGAGAGCTTCTTCTTCAGCGTCTCGGGGTCGGAAGACGTGAGCACCTTGAATCCGAAGTCGCCCGCCCAGGCCTTAGTGCCTGGCTTCTGGTCTTGGGACACCTCGCAGAACGCCATGTAGGCGATGATCTGGGCCCAGCCGAGCGCGGGCACCACGGAGACGGCTTTCAGACCGTTGGGGACGTCTGCGAACTTGAGCCCCATGGAGGGGGACAGGTAGCCCGAGAACTTGAACCCGAGCTCGGGCGTGATGTAGCCCATGGCGGCCAGCATCGAGATGCGCCCGTGCTTCAGCTCGGTCGCCCGGCGGCGCTTGAACGCGGCCTCGTCGCCGTCGGCGGTGTAGCCGATAGGGTCCCAGAAGCCGAGGGGGGCCTGCACGCCCAGCTCGTTCTCGAAGGCGCGCAGCGGAGAGGCCGTGTAGAGGTCCCAGTCGCCCCAGGCGGACCCGGTGAGGCCGTCCTGGTAGAACATGCCGATGATCGCCATCATGGCCAGGCGCCCGTTCGCGATCTCGGAGTTCAGGCCGCGGGTCCTCTTGGCGGAGTCGGCGACACCACCGAAGAGGCCGAAGTTGCCCTTGCCGAAATTGCCCGGCTCCCCAGGCTTCTCCGCGTAGGCCACCTCGTACGTGCCGATGAAGAGGAAGATCTGCAACCAGCCGGCCGCTGGCACCTTGGAGAGCGCGGCGAGGCCGTTGGGCACGTCGGCGAACTTCAGGCCGGCCGAGGGGCTCAGCAGGCCGGGGAACCTGACGTACTCTGGGAAGATGTAGCCCATGGTCGCGTACATGGCCACGCGCCCGTGCTTGATCTCTGTGGAGCGGCGGCGCTGGAAGTTCTCCACGCTGCCATCGTTCGTGTAGCCCAGGGGGTCCCAGAAGCCGGTCGGCGCCTGCACGCCCAGCTCGCTCTCGAAGGCGCGCAGCGGCGAGTCCGTGTAGAGGGCCCAATCGCCCCAGGCGGATCCGGTGAGGCCGTCCTGGAAAAACATGCCGATGATGGCCATCATGGCAAGACGACCATTCGCAAGCTCAGCGTTCAGCTTCGTCTTCCTTGCCTCCGCATTCTGCATCGGGCCCCACCCGCCGCCGTTGAGGACGCCAAAGACCCCTGCGTTCTTGTAGTCGCCGGGGCCCCTGCTGGGGTCGTACTGCAGGTATCCAAAGTCGATCATTCCCGCAAACAGGAACATCTGAGCCCAGCCCACGGCAGGCACCTTGCCCAACGCCGCCAGGCCGTTGGGGATGCCGGAGAATGCGAGGCCCTGGCTGGGCGCGCAGTCTCCGGGAAACCTGAAGTACTCGGGCACGATGTACCCGATGCACGCTATCATGGAGACCCGGCCGTGCTTGATCTCAGTGACCCGGCGGCGGGTGAAGTTGTCGGCGTCCCCGTCCTGGGGCGTCGTTTGGCCGATCCATGTCCCCACCGGCGCGGCGTGGGCCCCACTGGCCGACTTGCCCCCCCTAGATGGGGACATATGATCCCGGGTCGAGGGTTCACAGCCCCCCATAATGGGATGGCGGTGGGACCACGCCGACGCCGACGCCAATGCCAACTCCGCCGACGCCGACGAACGAAGACGGCGACGACGACGACCACCACGACGATGTTCCGCACAGGTTTGTACATATGAATTTGTTTATCCTTGTTGAGCTGTTGTGAGGGTTTGTCGTAGAAAAATGACCACGACGACGACGACGACGACGACGACGACGGCACGAGTGCGACGGCGACGACGAACCACCCCACAGCCGCAGTGGGAGAGAGGGGGGGTGCACTGGCACCCTCCACCCCGCCACGCCCACAGGGGCCTCGACCACAGGGGGGCGGCGGGGGCGATCCCATTCGCGAGGCCTTGCGAGGCTCACGGGCGTACCCATCCTGGTGTTCCCTTCGGGTTTCGAGGGGCACGCCCCAAACTGGGGTGGTGGGATGGTGGGGCTCGGGATGGCTATGGGGAGAGGGATCGGTTAACGGATACCGAGTCCTTGCAGTATCCAGCAGGGTCCCAGAAGCCCAGCGGCGCCTGCACGCCCAACTCGCTCTCGAACGCGCGGAGCGGCGAGTCCGTGTAGTTGGCCCAGTCACCCCAGGCAGACCCAGTAAGACCGTCTTGGAAGAACATGCCGATGATGGCCATCATGGCAAGCCGGCCGTTCGCGATCTCGGCAGCCAGCCTGCGCTGCCGCACCTGGGGGTCAGCGCTGTACAAGCCGATCGGCCTCCAGCCGAGCTCCCCGGGCTTCCTGTTGGGGTCAGCGTTGTAACCGAACGGCCCAGACTCGCAGTAGAGGCAATACGCCACGATCTGCAGCCAACCGGGGCCTGGCACCTTAGAAAGGGCGGCAAGGCCGTTCGGGATATCCGCGTATTTGACTCCGAGACTGGGAGAGAGCTCACCCGGAAACTTGCCGACCACCTCGGGGGTGATGTACCCCATCGTCGCCAGCATGGAGACCCGGCCATGCTTGATCTCGGTCTCCCGCCTGCGCTTGAAGGCAGCAACATCGCCATCCTTGGTGAAGCCGACCGGGTCCCAGAAGCCCACCGGCGGTTGCACACCCAACTCGCTCTCGAACGCACGGAGCGGCGAGTCCGTGTAGTTGGCCCAGTCACCCCAGGCAGACCCAGTAAGACCGTCTTGGAAGAACATGCCGATGATGGCCATCATGGCAAGCCGGCCGTTCGCGATCTCGGCAGCCAGCCTGCGCTGCCGTACCTGGGGGTCAGCGCTGTACAAGCCGATCGGCCTCCAGCCGAGCTCCCCGGGCTTCCTGTTGGGGTCAGCGTTGTAACCGAACGGCCCAGACTCGCAGTAGAGGCAATACGCCACGATCTGCAGCCAACCAGGGCCTGGCACCTTAGAAAGGGCGGCAAGGCCGTTCGGGATATCCGCGTATTTGACTCCGAGACTGGGAGAGAGCTCACCCGGAAACTTGCCGACCACCTCGGGGGTGATGTACCCCATCGTGGCCAGCATAGAGACCCGGCCATGCTTGATCTCTGTCTCCCGCCTGCGCTTGAAGGCAGCAACATCGCCATCCTTGGTGAAGCCGACCGGGTCCCAGAAGCCCACTGGCGGTTGCACACCGAGCTCGCTCTCGAACGCACGGAGCGGCGAGTCCGTGTAGTTGGCCCAGTCACCCCAGGCAGACCCAGTAAGACCGTCTTGGAAGAACATGCCGATGATGGCCATCATGGCAAGGCGGCCGTTTGCGATCTCAGCGTTCAGCCTGCGCTTTCGTGTCTCAGGGTCGGCGGAAACAAGCAAAGGCGGCTTCCACCCGACATTGCCTGGCTCGGCTTTGGCGTCTGCGTCGTAGCCCTGCTGGATCTCACAGAATGCAAACCAAGACGCGATCTGCAGCCAGCCCAATCCCGGCACCTTGGAGATGGCCGCCAACCCGTTCGGGATGTCGGCGAACTTCAATCCTTCGGACTTGCTGATGAAACCAGGCCACTTTCCAGCGACCTCCGGCGTAATGTAGCCCATGGTCGCCATCATGCAGATCCTGCCGTGCTTGATCTCTACAGATCGGCGGCGCTTGAAGGACGTCACATCGCCATCGGCTGAGAGCCCCAGCGGGTCCCAGAAGCCCAGCGGCGCCTGCACGCCCAACTCGCTCTCGAACGCACGGAGCGGCGAGTCCGTATAGAGGGCCCAATCACCCCACGCGCTGCCGGTCAAACCATCCTGAAAGAACATCCCGATGATCGCCATCATTGCCAGCCTGCCATTGGCGATCTCCGCGTTCAGCTTCTTCGTTTTCGCCTCGCCATCGAAGCCAGAAAGCAGCGGCGGCTTCCAGCCCACGTCGCCCGGGGTGGCCTCCGTGCCGATGTAATTGAAGCCAAGTCCAGACGCCTCAACGTACAAGCAGTAGATGACGATCTGGAGCCATCCCACGAAGGGCACCTTGGAGATGGCAGCCAATCCGTTGGGGATGTCCTCGAAAGCGAGACCCTTGGAAGGGCTAAGGTAGCCCGGGAACTTGCCGGCCACCTCGGGGGTGATGTAACCCATCGTCGCCAGCATGGAGACCCGGCCGTGCTTGATCTCGGTGGAGCGGCGGCGCTTGAAGGCCGCCGCGTCGCCGTCCTTGCTGAGGCCGGCAGGGTCCCAGAAGCCGACGGGCGCCTGCACCCCCAGCTCGCTCTCGAAGGCGCGCAGCGGCGAATCAGCGTAGTTTGCCCAGTCGCCCCACGCGGAGCCTGTGAGGCCGTCCTGGTAGAACATGCCGATGATGGCCATCATGGCCAGGCGCCCGTTCGCCAGCTCGGAATTCAGCTTCCTCTTCAGGACTGCGGGGTCATCCGACGTGAGCGCCTTCCAGCCGTAATTGCCGGGCTCGCCACCACGAGTGTAGGCGTCGTAGCCGAAGCCCGCTTCGAAGGCGCCGGCGAAGAGGATGATCTGGAGCCAGCCCACGGCGGGCACTTTGCTGCAGGCGGCCAGCCCGTTCGGCACGTCCGCGAACTTGAGCCCAGAAGAAGGGCTCAGGTAGCCCGGCCACTTGTAGAACTCCGGCGTGATGTAGCCCATCGTGGCGTACATTGCCACGCGGCCGTGCTTCAGCTCGGTCTCCCGGCGACGCTTGAAGGTCGCTACGTCCCCGTCCGCGCTGAGCCCCAGCGGGTCCCAGTAGCCGACGGGGGCCTGGACGCCGGTCTCGCTCTCGAAAGCGGTCATGGCCACCTGTCGGCTGCACGCCAGTGTGGCCCTGGAGGCGGCTTGCCGATGGTTGCATGCGGTGCGACAGTGGCGGCGTGCGTGCTTGGGCTTGGCCCCCGATAGCGAACCCGCACGTGCCTGGGCGGGGTGGGCCGTCAGGCCCCGATCGGCGGTCGTGTGGCGATTGGGGGATGAAGAATCCCCCCCTGAGCATATACTCCCCAACACTGCCACTTGCGTTGTCGGGTCAGAGAACTCGGCTCTCTCCGGCGGCCGCTCGGGACGATCTGGGCGCTGGACGGTATCAGGGGGCTCGAACCCCCCCGAGAAGCTCGGCGAGCCTCCGAGACCCTCCGAGAAACCCTCGAGACCCTCCGAGACCCTCCGAAGACCTCCGAGAAACTCTGAAACCCTCGAGACCCTCCGAGAAGCTTCGAGAAGCCCCGAGAAGCTCCGAGAGGGCTCTGAGGACCTCCGGGCTCCTCCGAGCACCCCCTTGCACCGCCGAGAACCGACGCCCACTCCGGCGAAGGTTCACTCTGCTACTTGCAGCCGGACCTGGCGGGGCTTCGACGGCTTCTTCGGCGCGGAGAGCGACTGCCGCGCGACGAGGCCGGCCAGGGCGGCGACGCAGCCGGCCGCGGCGAGGCCGGTTGCCGCGGCGCCGCGCGCGGGCTCCGAGGCCGCGGAGCCGCGGAGCTCCGCGGGCTCGGCGCCGGCTTGCGCCAGGGGCGCCTGCAGGGCCCAGGAGCTCAGGTCTCCGACGGGATGATTTGGTGTCGGCCTCCGGGGCGCGCGCTCGGGCCCCAGGGCCCCTGCCAGATGGATGCGGGGCGAGAGGCTGGCCCCAGGTGAGCGTGGACCTCTGAGGACCCCGTCTGGAAACCCAGATCGAGACACTACAATGTCTGGAAAGGCGACGGCACCACCACCAGCGCGAGGCGCCGGAAGGGGGCTCCTCCCGGCGGTGTGCCCCCGTCCCCAACACCCCGCTCTCGCGCGACAGGTGCCCTGTCCCCGGCTCGGGGGGGGGCACCGTGTGCACCCCCCTCGCTGGAGGTGGCGCCCCCTCCTGGCGGTGGTGGCGTCGCCTCTCCGTCCTCGGAGCCTGCGTGCGGCCGGCGCCCATGTGGGGGCTCAGGAAGGCGGTGGTCGAGGCACCGAGGCCAAAGGCCACGGCGGCGGAGGTGATCGCGGCGCCCTTCATCGCTGCGCGGGAATGGAAAAAGCCAAGGGAGGTGACAGGCAGCTTGTTTTCAAAAACTCCTCGAGCCAAAACGGCTGCGCGATGGGGTGGGGAGGGAGAGCAAGGGACAGGCGACACAAGGAGGGGGGAGGGAGGGAGAGGGGAGGAGAGAGGACGGAGGAACGCTAGCAAGTGCAGAGCGGGGTCGGGACAAGAGGCCCTAGCCGCCCATTCAAACGATGTAATACACCACATAGATATCCACACAGACTGACTAGATCAGTCTGGAACCCCAGGTGCACCTCTGGATCCAGACTGGCGTGCCGCCCGGCGAAGTGTCGTAGTTGACCTTAGGCATCGGGCATTCGAGGCGGTGGAAATAGCATATGCTGGCCTTGGCCGGCAAACGGCACAATTTCTGAAGGTTTGTTACAGGAGCTCTTTCGACTTACGCTGCGCGAAGTGGAGCATCCACAGCGACGACACCACAATTGCCGGCGAGTCCACACACATGCCAGCCCCACGCGCCGTGGGAGGGCAGAGAAATACCGAGGCCCGCTCCGCGGCCCAGGGGAAACCCGCTCCCCAGACATGGGGTGCGGCGCCCCGAGCGTCGCCCCGACGCGCGTCGCAGCGACGCCCGAGACGCCAGGGGCGCGAAGAACCCCCAGGGCGCGGGCGGGTGGGACAAAACGCGTCACGCGGCCACGCATGGGCAGCGTGCACGCCACAGCCCTCGCGGGGACCCAAGCCCAGAGAAGCGAACGCACAGCGCGCAAGGCCGCGTGCGCGGACGGGCACCGCGAGGCCGTCCCACCGCCACTCGCACCACGGTGCGGTGGCACAGCGCAGTGGGACACGCCCCCGCCTGCCGCGCAGCAGTGGCCAACAGGGTCAGCGGCCGCTCCCGGGCGGACCGCGGACAAGAGAAAGCAGGGGCGCAGAGGCGGCAGCCGCGCAGGCAGAGCAGCACCAGTATACCTCTCCCACCCACGACCCCGCACCCCGACCCCCCCCCCCGCCCCGAGGACGACGGAGAGGGCAGGGGGGCAGGGCAGCCGTGGGAGCGGCATTCGTGCAAGCCCACAAACGCAACGACAGTGTAAGCACTGTCCCTGAGTTTGTGGGCTCATAATAAAATGATGACATCCATGAACCTCCGGATTGCCTGCAGTAGATGCTGGTCCGGGCGTCCCTGCGCCATCCAGCCGTTTCCTCTTCCGCGTCAAATCGACAGCAACGCGAATCAACGTCACACGTTTGCTGAAGGTCCACCGCATCGCCCGAATCACTCGACGAAGATGCTATACAAATGTAGAAAAAGAGCGCAGCCTCAACCGCGTAGGCGCCGTCGTGGTCACGTAGGAGGTCGTCGTTGTAATCCAGCCTCCTTCACGAGCTGCTGTTCGGGGGAGGCTTCTAAGCCGCGTCGGCGTCCAAATCCTCGAAGACCTCGTCAGCCTGTGTTGGTTCTGGGTCGTGCGCTCCTCTCCAAGGATTTTGGGGTTTCCTTCTGTGGTCATGTCAACGCGCCGGCGAGCACCGCGAGCGCGCTCGAAGTCAATATTGAAATCGCGAAGATAGCGGTTGACCATCTCGACGCCTCGGCTCTCGTCCTGAGTGGCACTGCGCATATCTTCATTGGATGCACGCCACAACGCCCCGCGAATGTTGATTCAGGCACTGCCGCTGACGAGTGGGGCACTCACTCCATGTCTAAACTGATTTCCCGACCCCGCTCGCCCCTGCCTCCATGCGAACGAGTTGGCCTTCATTGAAGGTTGGAGATATGCGGTGTCGTGCGCGGAAAACTCGGAATAGCCGCGTTCGGCTACGCATGGCAGTCTAGGCTGTCATGGCGGCTCGGCGTGAGGCTATGCAGATCGGCGGAAATCCTGCGCCCGATCGGTAGAAAAGGCGCGCGGGATCAATGGGGCCATCGGAGTGCAGCGTCGCTGGTGGGCACTGCATTGCGGAAAACCGAGAACCCGCTGCACACGTGGAAACCATGCGACAGCCCACTCCGATTCTGGCAACGGTTTCGCGCCGAACAACGACTCCCCCATAGCGTGCCATTCGGCCAAGCACTCCAGAACTACCTTATGATTGGGTAGACAAAATTGTCGTTTCCATTCTTGTCCAGCACGTTCGGCTCGACCGTTTTGCCATGGAGCAAGAGCAACCCTCGGACATAAACGCGCCGTTTTGCATGGCATCGGCAAACGCCCCCTGAAACTTCGTTCCAGGATACACAACAACAACCTCTGGCATGCTAACAGCACGCGCCAATGTGAGTACACATGCCTGCCGCGCAACCGCTGCTGACTTTCCTGCCCCCGCATGTCCAGGAGACTGAAACGACGTGCCCCAACAGATGGCATTGATCCAACGCGGCGCATCATCGAATTGGCACTTGCCCTCAACCAAGTCAATGCCAACAACGCGATTGAATCGATGCGACTTGAGGGCATCAGCAGAACGGCGAGCATAGGCACGTCTGCGCGCCTCGCACTCGTCGTACATGAATGTTTCCAGATACCAGACTGTCACCTGAGGCCCGGAAATACCCCGCCTCAGTAGTCGAACGGAATCTCGATTGTCAAGATGGCCAGCGATATCGCGAGCAAGCTTGAGATCGGCAAGCTGGGGCACAACGGGCGATTGGTCGGGGCTGACCAGTCGGGCTGAGTGAGTGGGATCATCGACGAGAACTTCTCCAGGCCCATCTTCTTCAAGAGCTGCTTCCAGACTGGCATAGTCCATTGGCTGTGCCTGCTGTATCTGTTTCACCAATTGATAAGGAACCGCGCCGCTGCAATCCTCATCGAGCTCCGACGATGAAGCGCGCGCCCCGCTGGTGGTCTGCCACATTATCAATCGCCATCGACCATCGCGGGCCCCGGCTGCTCCAACCGAGACCTGCGGAACGGCAGGCTGTCAAGAACCGCCTGGCGCACCTTCAAGCGCTGCCGCGCGCTAGCCAAATTCTGGACCAACCATCCTCGCACCAGTTGCCGCAGGGGGAAGAAGCTGCCGAACCTGACTGAGACAGGTGCGCCGAGGACAAACGCTTGCCAGCAGAAGCGCCGGCGAACATCAGACCAGTAGTGGCTTTGCAATATTGACAGGCGCGTGCTCTGTGACCTGCCGCCGTCTACGTCACGCATCGAAGAAGTCGTCGGGTTGTCGCGCCGGGCGCGCGCCGCCGCGTCGTTGAGCGGCAGGAGTGGCGAGGCGTAGCGGAGCTATTGCTCCAGGTGGAACGCGAAGAACCCTCGCGAGGGCGGCGAAGAGAAACTGAAAGTTGTCGAGGCCGAGACCCGCGGTGCCAGCATCCATCCAGGGGATCTCCCACCCGGCAAGGGCGCTGTCCACGCACTCGCAAGCTGCGCGCAAAGTCCACGAGTCGAGGCCTTGCTGCACCTGCCTTTCGTCCTTCGGGGTCTTCTGACCCGGGTCAACCTTGGCCCCGGTCAGCAGAAACTGAAATGCAGGAGAACAAAAACTGCAACGCAGGTCTTCGCAAACCCGGGTCAGCCAATATGCGCGGCCGCCTCGCGGCCACGAGCGGCTCGCTAACCCAGGTCAGCCAGAGGGGGATTCCGCGGGATCCTGCAACATCTGGCGCTCTGGCTGACCCCCGTTTGTCTTGACCCCCGTCTCAAGGCTCCCGAGTCCTCCAGGCTCTCGAACCTCCGGGCCAGGTAGTAAAGGAAATGCACACTGGGCCGGCGCGGACTCCGCTGACCTCCGCGCCGAAGTTGATGACGGCCGGAAGGGGTCCGCATCGCCAGTGCGCCAGCGAGGCCTTGATTTTCTCGCTGCAGGGCAGCCACCTGCTGCAATGGAATCATCCGTCCTGGGTGGACGTTCAGCCTGGCGCGGACCTCGCGTATCCATGCGCGGGATGGGACGGACCCATGCGGGGCCCCAGGTGGGGCCCCGCGTCTGGTCGCCCTCTCGCTCGCGGCTCAAACGACCAATAAGATCTCCAATAGCTAGCGCGAACAAACCATGAACGACCGTTCCCAGGACAAGTATCATGATAAAGTAAAGAGAGGAAGCCACAATGGTTTTGGAAGAAGTGGCGGCGCCGGCCGCATTACCAGAGGCGGTTGGAGACAAAGAAAGGTTCGCGAGTCGGCAATACTGTAGATGTTAAATGTAAAGATCATTCGCGCCACCGCGAGCGAAGGCCGATAATGTCGTGGTGGAAGAGGTAATCGTAAAAGTCTAAGAAGCCGCGGTCGCGCGCGAGGGTGCTCGCGCGCTCGACGTAGAAGGGGACGTGGACATGGATGGCGTCGCAGTTGCTGTCGAGGTACCTCGCGCGCGTGACGTAGAGGGAAAGGTGATTGCGGCGCGGCTGTCGACGTGGTGGCTGGGGAGAGGAAGGCTTTCCTCATGACGGTCGAGCCTCCTCGCGCAGTTGACGTCCAAGTGGTAAGGGAACTCGGCGCAATAGCATTGCGGTACGTGCCATCAATGCGATCGTACACGAAGTCGTCCGCGGTGCTCTCCAAGCCATGAAATAGTTGTGTGCGTAACGTTGGAAGGAACGGTGTGGCGATGGAGAACCAAAAAGACCTTTCTCTCCTGCCAGAAAAAAGTACCGGCTGTGCTGCCGATGCTGACAGATGTAGTGGCGCAGCTTAGAGCCGAAGCACTAGCGGAAGCAGGCGGATAGATGTCCCCGCGTGGAACATCCTCTCAAAGTTGCGTGGCGCTACTTGGCATTTCCCTGACAGCGCTTGGCATTGATTGGCGCTGCTTCGCATTACGTGGCATTGCTTGGTATTGCTTGGCATTATTTTGGGAAGCCCGAAGGACCGAATGACGGAACCCACGCGAGGAACTGCAGGAACCAAGCGAAACCCAAGCAAGAAAATGACACCAAGGAAAACGAGGACCCAGGGGGACAACTCTGATACAGCAACCCGGACCCACAAATGTCTTCACAAGCAAAAAGGAAGACCGTAGACGGAGCCTACTTTGGGAAAAGCTTACGCGATATTGTGTGTGCAGTCGACAGCGTTCTTTACGTCGTTCAGGTGGTGGCGATGGTGATCAGGCCTGGATTGAATCCTTCGCCTGAGAGAGGAGGACGGTCAAATCCAAAGACCCCTCTCGCAAGCCCCTACGAGTCTTACTGCCTACTACGGGAAGCGCCCCCTTCAAACGCGGGAGCCCGATTGACGTGCCGGGCACGCGGGATCCTCACTTTCGAAAATTACGGGCCAATCCTGACACCATGACAGCAGCCGTTGAACGTATCAACATATGAGATGTACGAACACAAAGTGTCAAGTGCGCGCCGACCAACCGAGATTCATTGAGACATGAATGGTCCTCGACCCGTGCAACGGCTGCACGAAGCTATGTTTCGAAAACGAAGGAGACGCCCATCTTGACAAAGAAATCTTCGCCAGTCGTGCGACCACAATTACGTATTCCCCTTGCACAATCAAACCTTGGACGTCTCAATCAATCACTCCATCAAAACAACGGGCTGCGATCCATCCGCGTGACTGCTCCACAATAGGTCAGAAAGCCGGGTGCAAACAAACAGGAAAAACGGCATAATTGATGATAAGCGCCATCAGTAAGGTGTGCAGCGCGGACGCGAGACACACGACCCGCCCTGCATCTGCAAGCTACTAAGTTTGAACACGGCTGACGCAGTGCTAGGGCGAGAACAACATGTTAAACGTATAGGTGTGCTCCATACGAGCGGTTGTTGAGAATTCCACAATGAAGGCTATGAACTGTGAACACTTCTTAAAGAAAACGCCCGGCCCACCGAACCGACACGTCTGGTGGCGCGAAGGACGAGGAGGGGGGAGGAGGGAGGGGGAGGCGGGAGGAGGAGGAGGTTATGAGGGAGGGGGAGGCGGAGGAGGTTCTGAGGGAGGACGAGGAGGGAGGAGGAGTATATTGGAGGGCGGTGAAAGGTCGGATGACGAGGGCGCAGAAAAGAAGTGAGGACGAGGACAAGGAAGAGGCGCGACGAAACAGGATGGAGGACGACGAGAAAGAGGAGTGAGAATCGAGAGGAGGGATGGGTGTGGAAGAAAAGGGTGTGGAGGACGACACCCCCATAATCCCACTCTTCAGCACCCAAGCCATCAGAAACATCCCCTTCCTCCAACCTTCATCCTCCTCCCTCCAAAGAGATTCACGTCTGCGGCGTTGCTGCATGTTTTCCGCAACGGAACACCAAAAGGTCTCGATCCCTTCCCCAGGACTGACTGTCAGTCAGGAGTCGCTTGTCGTTCTTTGAAGGCCTCAGGGAGCCTGGAAGAGGATCCCTGGAGGCCGAACATGAAACACAAACATTCGGATTTTGTTCACGACGCGAATTGGCACATTGAGGCGTGGAAGAATAACAGGGTCTGGGATCTACTCCGGGATCCCCCCCCTCCCTACCAGCAGACTCCTGCGTGCGTCGCCCCTTCTTCCCGAGTCACTTAACTCGTGCCCGCTCGAGGATGGTGAACTTCCTGCGTGGCAGCTAATGCCTGAGCCCCCATTCCACGCGCGCTCGCCCGAGTAAGGTGCACTTCCTGCATGGCAGCTAATGCCTGAACTCTCATTCCATGCGCGCCCGCTCGAGGATTGTGCAGTTCCTGCATGGCTGCTAACTCCTAGACCCCTCATCCCACACGCGCCCGATCGAGGACTGTGCACTTCCCGCATTCCCAGACGCTGATCACAAGCGAGCTTCCAAGACGGCTTGCGCAGGCAATCAAGGGCGCTAAGATGGCCCAAGATGCCTCGGAGACGGCTCGGCCCCAAAACGGCCCAAGGTGCCTCCAAGAGGGCCCGCAATGGCCACGAGAAGACCTCCAACAGGGTCCGGAGAAGCCAAAGCCATTGATTATCATGTCGGTTTTTGAATGATTTTCGCATTCTCGCCTTCTCAGACTGCCGTCAGCTCAAGACGGCACCAAAAGACTCCACGAAGGCCCAAGAGGCATCCCAAGCGGCTCCATCACGGCCCAAGAGGGCCTCTGATACCTACAAGGCCTTAGAAAGCTCGACGGCCCAAGACGGCCCAAGACACCCACCATACGGCCAAGAGGGGGCCAAAGATAGCCCAAGCCAGCGTGAGAGGGCACCAAGACGGCACAAGAGGGCCCAAAGGGACCCCCAGGACTGCATCGCAGGAGGCCAAGGCAGCCCAATAACAACGAGTTTCATGAACACCATCATCATCATCATCATCATCATCATCATCATCATCATCAGCAGCAGCAGCATCATCACCACCACCACCATCATCATCATCGTCAGCAGCAGCAGCAGCGTCGTCATCATCATCATCATCATCATCATCATCATCATCATCATCATCATCATCATCATCACCATCGTCGTCAGCATCAACATCAGCATCATCACCACCATCACCATCATCAGCGGCAGCATTATCACATTCAGCATCGTTGTCATCATCACAATCAGCATCATGATCGTCTTCGCAATCATCATCAGCGCCACCAACATAATCATCATGAACATTATCACCATCGGCATCGCCAACACAACCATCACACTCATATACATGACGAGCAGCATCATCAGCATCATCACCATCATTAACATCAAGATCAACATCATCATCATCATCATCATCATCGTCATAATCGTAATCATACTCATCGTCATCGTCGTCGTCGCGGGCGTCATCATCACCATCATCATCATCACTATCGTCGACAACACCGTCATCGCCATGGCGATCGAAATAATCATCACCACCACCATCGTCATCATCAGCATCATCAGCCTTAAACCACACTCGTAATCAGAATCATCATCCTCAGCAGCAGCAACATCGGCATCATCACTAGTATCAACCTCATCATCATTATCAATATCATCAATAACATCATCGACGTCATCGGCACCGGCACCGTCATCGAAATCATCATCAGCAGCATCATCATCGTCATCGTCATCGACGTCGTCATCGCCGTCGTCGTGACCGTGATCGTCATCAGCATCGTCACCGTCATATTCAACATCATCAACGTCATGGTCATCATCGTGATCAGCATCATCATCACCATCGTAACACCATCACCATAACAACATCATCAGCATCGTAATCAGCATCATCATCCGTATCACCATCATCATCCTCACCAGCATGACAATCATCAACACCATCAACCACAATACATCATCATCGACGTCATTCCCAATCATCATGGCTCTCCTCATCATCCCCAACACGGCTGTCCTGAGGCTGGAGACACGATGTCACCCGTGACGCACTCCCGCGCCCGACCGAGCAATCGCCATCCAGAATGGCGGGCTGGTACGGTGGCGGGACTTGCCGCAAGCAGCTGGATACTCAGCAACGGCATGAACGTGAAGTTTCGGAAATCAGAGCAAAATTCTCGCATCTGCGCTCGACCCCCTCCCTCGCGCGCCGATGCTTGTTCTTTGAAGGAGGACGCTTGGGTTGCTCTTCCTCCTCCTCCTCCTCCTCCTCTGCTCCTTCCTCCTCCTCCTCCTCCTTCTCCCCCTCCACCTCCTCCTCCTCCTCCTCCTCCTCCACCTGCTCCTCCTCCTCCTCTTCCTCCTCCTCCTCCTCCTCCTCCTCTTCCTCCTCCTCCTCCTCCTCCTCCTCCTGTTCCTCTTCCTCCTCCTCCTCCTCCTTCCCTCACTCCCACCTTCTGCGTCGCCCTTTCAGACTTCCTCGGGCCCGCCGGGGCAGCAGCATCCGTGCGGGGGGGGGCCGCTGGCCTCCCACAAGCTCTTGAACCAATCGGGGCACTCGTCCGCGGAGATGGGGCCCACCCTACCGCACGTCGCCTCGTCGGGGGAGAGACCGGAAAGGGAGGGAAAGGGGGAGGGACGGGGAGGAGGAGGAGGGGGAGGTGGAGGGCAACCTAGGTGCGCTCGCGTCATATATGACATCCTACCCCTCCATCCCATCCCTTACAATGGCGTAGACCCCCTCTCTACTCGCACAGTCGGATGTTGAGCAGGGCACTGATCCCGAAAGGTTACGCGATGCATTGTAGAGCACGGCATGGCATGGCGTAGAAGAGCACCGCAAAGCGTAGTATGTCACAGCATGGCGTGGCGTGGCGTAGTGAAAAATTGCATCACAAAGCTTTGCAACGCAAAACATGGCATCGCACAGCGGCCCCGAACATAACATTGCATAGCATGGCGTTGAAGATCACAGCATAACATGGCATATCATGACGTGGCACTTACGCACTGGATATGACGGCTGCAGCTGAAGGCATGGCACCGCGCAGCGGAACGCAACCTAGCATTGCACTGCATGCCGTGGCATGGCACGGGAAATGACGCCAGCGCTGCAACGGGAGCACGAGTCGGAACGAGCGGAAGCGCGGAAATGACGCCAACGCTGCAACGGGAGCACGATTCGGAACCAGCGGAAACACGGAAATGAGGCCAACGCTGCAGCGGGAGCACAACTCGGAACGAGCGGAAGTCCGAAAATGACGCCCGCGCCTCAGCGAGAGCATCCTTTTGAAAAAACCCAGCGAAAACCCAACTCCGGAAAATCCTGTGTGTGAGAAAGCAGTACGCGGAGGGGTGCCCGCTATCCTCCGCACGCCATCAGGGAATGGAGGAAAGTAGTTTTCATATGATGTAATTGTAGAGGGGGGGGAGGCGGAAATGCGGCAGAGTGGGGGGGAGAGGAGGCGGCGGGGGGGGAGGACGTGGGGGCAGGGGGGGCGGGGAGATCGCAACAGTTAGACGAGCCAGAGCTCGCCAGGCCCCGCGGCGACATGCGCGGCGTGGACCAGCCCCCTTAGGGCGGCGGTTCCGCGTGTATGTAGCAGGAGGTGGTGGCGTGACCTCCACCGTGGTGGTGGGCGGGCTGTTGCCTTCGTGGGTTGCAAAGTGTCCGCTGCTTGCCTGGGCGGTCAAGTTTGGTGCTTCACTGGTGGGGCTGTAACCGTCGTCTGGTGCCATGATTGGCCCATGCAGCTCGCTACGGTCCTCAGGTTCCGTCCTGCTGTCGCCGAATTGCGTCAGGTTGTAGATTGCCTCGCTCTGTTTGGGGAAGCCTTTGGAGCTGGCAAAGCCTCCGTCTGGAGTTGGCAAAACCGCGCAAGTTGGCCTGGTGCTAGCCAGGGCGGGTTATCGCTGCTTCCACTGGCGGAACGGGCGCCCCTCGGTGGTCCGAGAGGCGAAGGGTGGTCTGCTTTCGCCCCCCATCCGTGATCTTGCCGTGCGTGGCCTGTGGCGGTGGCTGCAGTTTGGCGGCGCCCCGCTGCGGCGCACGGTCACGGGGCTGCTCTGGCGCTGGAGGTCGGCTCCTGGGCCTGGAGCTGGCTCCGCACATGGTCCTGTTCGCACTCCCGGAGACTGGCGCTGCTATAATGGGCCACACTGGTCTGTCCTGTCGGCGGCGGACCTGGCGGCCACCTTCTTCGTCTGTGTAACACATTTGGCGCTACTCGCCCGTAGAGACGGAAGACCCCTTGAGCGTGTTTCGCGCCTGTAAAGATGCCAGAGATGAGGGGCTGTGGGTGCAGAGCCGTGGTTCGCCACACGGGCCCCATGATGCGTTGGACGTTGACGGCGCGCCTTTGCACCTCAGAGGAGCCCGAGAGGACGCGCTGGCACGGTGAGCGACCTTCTCCAGGCAGAGTATTTCAGGATGTCATGTCTGGGCGGTGCATGACAGCGCATCCTGCCCTGAAAGAAGGCTGGTCGGGGTCGAACCTCAATTCCTCCCAGAGGACAGCTGCTCGCCTGCGCTGATGGTGCTAGGCGCTCTCGAAACCTGGCGGTCTCTGGATGCTGGCGTTGCCTGGTGGCTCGGCGGACGCGACTCGTCGTTGTGGGCCTGTTGGGAGCAACGGTCCTTGGCTGACTGTGTTTCGGTATGCTCCCGGTCGGATTCCGAGGTACGGTGTCGGGCCATAGGGGGCCCCGGGAGCCGCACCCCCTCGAGGGCCGCATGCATGTTGCGACAGGTGGAGCCACGGGCGCTGACGCCGTCGGCAGGAGCGCACGCGCAGACCCAGCCTGTTGGACCACTCTCGAGTGATTTGGGCCCTTCTGCACCATTCGCAGCGCAGAGCATCATGGCCCTGTCGATGGGTGCGTCGCAGAAGTCGGGCGCGCAAGGGGCGGGCCGTGAAGCCGCAGTTGGCTGTGGGACATACCCATCTGCCTGGGAGCTCATATCTCTGGCGGCGACCATTCTGCGCTACGGCGCATCAGGGCCCCAGCTGCACAGCCGCTGGCGGTCTGAGCGATGAGGGGCGGGCTTAGCGCCTGCTCCTTGAAATGGCATGGCCAGAGCACGGGGGGCGGCTAGTGCCAAGGAGAATGACGCCCCTGCTGTCAGGGTGCCTACCCATCGCCCGCAGGGCCTTCCTATTGACGGCGAAAATGGCCAATCTGTGGAAACTCGAGTCTATCTTTATACCTGCGAGAGTGACTCTCCAGAGATTCAGCGGCCGGCCACGCGCGCAGGCCGTGCCAGCGATGTGGCGGACATCCCAGTGGGTCACATGATGAGGTCTGGCTGATGGAACCAGCTGGCGCTCGCCCATCAGCCTTTCGACGTCTAACTCGCTGCGACTGATGTCGATGGACGAGCTTAGGGCATCGGCGCGCAGATCAGCACTTGCTCCTTGCGAGAGTCGTTGCTTGTCCACAGGCTTCGAAAATTTGCTGTTCCGATTCGGGGCCCTGGTGGCCTCTTCTGGCATTCAAGGTCACCTGGTCCGTGGGAGCTTGTAGCTCGCGTGCGTTGCCGCGGTGTCGGTGGTTACGCTGGCGCTCGCGGCTCGCTGGCGCCCGTCCTTGGCCACGGCATCGCTGTGATTGGGGGCCGGCGACGGCGTTTCGTCTCGCGCCGGCACCTGAGGAGCATGTCGCTGTGGCGAGCCTCCAGGAAAGAGTAGCGTTATGTCTGCGGGGCCTGGCTCGTCTAGCGCAGCGTGGCCTCCAGCAATCTTCCCGCCGAGGAGATCCGCCGCCTCACCCTGCTGCGATGAGCGCCTTCGCGCGGCCACCGACTCCGTTTGCATCCCGCAGCCTGCGCGCTCGAGGCGACGCTTCGCCCTGGACTAAGGCGCCCTATCGGGCGAAAAGCTGCAAAACCTTCGGGTAGATGAGCTTGCCGAGATGAGGGCCTGGATTGACACTATGGACAACAAATTTGATGTCCCCAGTGCCTACTGGGGCAGGCTTGGCCTCGCATAACAGCATAGCGACGTGGCCTTCGGCCACGGGGTGATCGCGCCCTCCCGTTCTGGCTAGCGAGCGGCAAGGCAACGCGCGCGGGGCAAATGCGGACATGGACGCGGTCGGGCGACTTCGCGTCGGCAGCCTTCCGCCGCGGCCCTGGCAGCAGCTCCCAGCTACTGTCGGACGCGCTCGAGGTCTTCAATCCTGGTAACGTCGACAGACGCCCCGCGCGCGTACGCGTGCTCCGTCGGTTCAGCGAGATCCCAAGTGAGCAAGGAGATTGTAGTGGACCCCGACACGGCATCATCGCCCCTGATCCTCGTGACTCCGCTGGTCTCCTGTTGCACCAAATTGTCGATCAGGTCGACGATGTGCATCGCGGGACCATGCGAGAGCAGGCCGTCGGAGGGGCCGTTCCAGACGGCTTGTTCCACTCCTGCTGTTGTCCGCCCTTCGGCGTCTCCCGCCCATCCTCTGTCGCCTGAGGTTGAGCAGTTCCGCGCCGACCTGGGCCGCCCGACGCTCACGTTTGGGACCTTTGGGCTGCGCCTCGTAGCACGTTTGGATTCCGATCATCGCGTGGGCTGGTCCTGGCGGGGGTCTGAAAATCTGGCGCTCTCCGCCGCCACCATCGGAAATAAGGTGACGCACGCCTCTGCTCCCGCCAGCTGAAGCCCGGCGGCTTCTAACAGTACGGCTGGTGCCCGTACTGTGTACATCAGCCTAACTCAACTCATCTCGAGCCTAACAGTGTGATGGCGTGTGTCCAGTCTCGCGATGCGATCAACCGAAGTGCTGGGCGCGTCGTGTCCTGGCTGCGCGCTGGGCCAGACACATTCGAGCCGAGACTGGGGGGGGACAGGGGGGGCGAGTGGGAGGAGGGGGAGATTCAGGAGGATGCAGAGGAGGAGGAGGATGAAGAGGAGGAGCGGGACGATCTCCTCCCCGAGCTGTTCCGACTCTCTCATGCTTCCTCCTCCTCCTCCTCCTTCTGCTCATCCTCATCCTCATCCTCATTCTCCTCCTCCTCCTCCTCCTCCTCCTCCTCATCCTCCTCTCCCTTGGTTGCACGCTGCGCGTGCGTAGTCCGACGGACATGTTTTTGTTTGGGGGGGGGCCAGGGAACCGTTCAAGAGAAGAGAGGAGGCCGAGAGGAAAGAGAAAATAAGGAAAGGAGTGCAGGCGCCTCCGACGCCCAATCCCCATGGCCTCCACCGAAGTGTCCGACAGGAAACCTGCGACCCCTGGGTGGAGGCAGTGGCAGAGCGGTCGAAGAAGAGACCGCGCTCGCACTCGGGCGACTTCCCCCCCTCGGAAGCAGGACGCGGCGCGTCTGCGAGTTGGTCCGAGCTGATGTATCAGCAGGCTGAGCTTTCCGACTATGGCTCAAAATCGATTATGTGAACGCCGATGCGATTGCCTTGTGTTGTCTCGTCTCTCGGGCAGATCCGTGGATCTTGCGCAGGGGTTGCAGGTCCACGAATCGGGAAAGCATGCCTCCAAAGCATGAGGCCCGTGTTGCCCGACATGGCGACGGATCGCGCCGATTCTGCAGTGAAGCCTCACCCGCCGCTGACCCATGCGCCTCACTCCATGACTGCGTTCCCTCGAATCCCTCCCTCCTTCTTCTCCTCCAATTTCCTCACCCTCCTCCCTCTCCTCCTGCGCCGACCCCGCGTCGAGCTCCCCATCGCCTCCATGTTGGGCGGGTTGTGGTTCCTGCTGCACAGGTTGTGGCGCTCCTGGCGCCGCGGGATGGGGCGGCTGGGAGGGGTGGCAGAGCGAGGCTCGCAATTCGGGGGCGCGGCGCGCGGCCCAAACCTCCGACAATCTGATGTGATAAAGCCCCGCGGCTTGTCCAAAACGACGCTGGGAACGGAACGATGCTGGATCGGGGAAAAAGCGAGGAGCTCTGAGATCGGGCCTGGATGAAATGCCGGGCGCCGCACCGACACGCTCTTGAACGATAATCCCGATCCTGGGCCTGCCTGAGGTTCGCTTCGGGAGCGCGCGGCCCAGGTTTCTGAAGACATGCTTTGTGCTCTAGCGGCTCTTCCCTCGTCAGCGCCCCCCGGACAGGGACTCCACACCCGGCGAACCCGACACTCCCCGATGCAGGCACCGCTGCACTGCCCGATGCGGGCACCGCATCACAACCCGAAAATGAATTCCGATATCGGTGGCGCTGACCCCGCCTTCAGCCTCCAGGGCCGGCTTCTTGGGCCCCGGTTTTCGGGCCCCAGGGTTCGAGAGTCCGCGCGGAATACTTGGATCTGCGCTGGCATCCCCCTGATGGCGCCTCCGGCACCGCCCCGGGCGAGCTCGGCGCGCTAGTGAGGGAGGGGGTCCAGCGCAGATCCAAGAAATCCGCGCGGACCCTCGAAAGTTTATGTCTTTGCAGTTTTCTTCTTCCACGCAGTTTCTTTCCATCAAGACTCTGGCAAGTCTGCTTACATGGCATCTTGCCTCCCACTCTCGCCGACTGTTCGTTCAGCGCTGGGCCAGAAGAGCGTGCAAATGACCCCACCAACCGTAATTAGATAATTATGGGGGCGGTTTTCGCCGAACGATATGATTAGCACCACGCAAGTGGAACAAACATAAATAATTCCTGCTCCCCGGCTCGGGTGGTCTCCCTAATGGAATTGGAATTGGAATAAGAATAAGAGTGAAATACAAGCAATAATAATTAACATAATAATGCAACTAAAAGCATAATAAGGACAAGCATAATCATAAGTACAAGGGTAAGAGTCATAATACGACTACATAATAACAATAATAAGAAACAGGGTAATCACCATAATCCGTATAATAAAAATAATACGAATGATAAGAACGATGGCAAAACATAAGAATAATAATGTTAATGGAAATGATAAGCATCACAACAAGACTCATACAAATAATAATGAATAACAATACTCATAATGATAAGAACTTGTTTCTCGGAATCTTCACCATCATTGTCCGTTACGGTTTGTAGTGCAACCCCTATTGAAATATTGTGTTTTTCCAGCCGTCGTGTGGGGGAGTGCATCCGAGGATATTGCCCCCGCCACGCACGGCGCGTTGACTTAGCATCCGCACCGCCGACATTATTCGCCCCCCAACGTAGCCACAGACGGTTCCTTTTCAAAGCTGGGCATCCCCTTGCGTGTGACTTAATGTTGATATTGCTGGTGTTGGCGGTGTTGGTGGTGTTTTTGATGTTGATGTTGTCGTTGGTGTTGCTGTTATTGGCCTTGTGGTTCTAAGTCTAATTTTTATTGCTGGTATTATTGTCGTTGTTCGTGTTGGGTCTTGAGAAGGAGGAGCAGGACGAGGATGTTTCGGTGCAGCTGGGAAGAATGTGAATCATAACAGTAATAAGAGTAATAATGGAAATAAAAATAATGATTCATGATAAGCATAATAGAAAGAAGAGTACTAATAATAAAGTTTGCTTGTTTCGGCGAGCAGACTCGTCTGCGTTCACATAAAGGTGCGAGGTGCCAGGGTAACGCTTCTGGGGTGCCGGGTGCGTTCTACTTTCAGAGGAGAGGGGGGGGTTCTTAATTGCTTGATACTGTTGACTCTTCTGGCCTGCTTGTTCCCAGCTTTCCCTGAGGCGCTCGACAGGCAGGCCTCTCCTCGCCTGTGCCAGCAACCTTACCAGAATCTAACCACAAACAAGCTCCAGACATCCGACGATGTGAATTCGCAACGGGGGACGCCCAGAGCGCAGATGTCCGACGATATGATTTGTTCAATCCATGCGACCTTTGCCTCGAGTTCGGCCTTCGGGGCTGGGCCCTGAAAACACGAATCTGGTGCTACAAAACCTGACCATTAAAGCCCGGGGGAGAGGTCGGGACCGCAGTGGAAGGCAATGGGAATGATGTGCAACGCACTGGCGTGCCAATCTTCCGGGCAACTGCCACTGGCCCCATCCCGTCTAGGACCCAGAAGGTGCGGTCAGCTGCCGCTAGCCCGGGCTAGCCTCGACCAACTCTGGCCTGACCCCCACGCTGGCGTTGGGCTGTTGCCGATGGCCGCGTTCACCCCCGCCTGTCATGACTGGCCCCTGGTGCGCAAGCATCGCCGGCAGCTGCCACCAATCTCAGCTAGACCCGACCAGCCCCACTGCACGATCATTGGGGGGTTCCTGGAGGTGTCCCTGGCCCAAGGCGCCCCCAACTCTTCGCTCCATTTTGGATCCCGTGGGTCTCAAGAGGGGTGCTCTGGAGGCCGTGGGAACCTCCTTGGAAATCCTGGGAACACCCCGGGTGCTGCCAGAAGTGTCCCTGGCCGCCAGGGACACTTCTGGTAACGCCCAGAACCATGCTCACCTCCAATCGTCCGATGTTGATTTTGTAGCCGTCGCCGCTCTAGAGCACGCGGGGCCCAGGAGCCTTCGACCCCTTGCCGCGAGAGGGGTTCGGGCATTCTGTCCTTCCAGACCGTCGCTGACGGTCGAGGAACCAGGCGGCGGCCCCAGGTGGCCAAAAACTGCGAAGAGCACGCGCCATGTAATGAACTGCTCGAGGCGCTGGAGGGCTGAGCTCATGCCGAACAAAGATCGGGGCGGACGAGACTCGTCTGCACGCAGCTGATTTATCCAGTGCCTCCTGGGGTGCCAAAAGCAGCCTCGCACACACATACACACATGTGTGTGCGTGTTTCGTTTGCTCGTAGCTCGGCTGCCGCGACCCTAGACCGAAATGAAGCTCCACACCTAAGTCTGTACACGGGCAACCAGGAGGCGGTGCCTCATATGACTGGTCGTGATGTTCTGTCTAGGGGTGTGGCCGGGATGGATCAATGCAAGCAGCATGCGGTCGGGACTCCTGGTAATCATCATGTACGTATTATGTCTATGTGTATATGTAAGTAACAAATATCTCCACATCTGTATCGGGAAAGCGCCTGGCGGCATAGCAGAACCCAGACTTCGCAACTCCCCCCTCAATTTCCAACCCCTCCTGTCGGGGGTTGCCAGCAGCGGTCCTGGCCCGAGGAGCGCCTCCAGCTTTTCCATCCACTCTTGAAACCCCTGGGGCCCGGTGGGCCTCGTCAGGGGAGCTGCCGAGGCTGAGGGGGAACGCTGGGGGGAAGGGGGGGGACATCGACCTTCGGCGCGAGCCCGGGGGAAAAAAAAATGAGAAGCCCTTCTCAGAAGGCTCGGAAGTTCCCTGGCCTTCTGAAAGGTTTTCTAAGTCTTCCCCCAAGACGCAGAAAACCTCTCAGAAGGCGCGAGGGTTTCAAAGTCCCGCCGCCTTCTGAGAAGGCCTGCTCCTTCTCATTTCCCCCCCTCGCTCGCCACAGAAACGGGGAACGCTTTGGGGGGACTGGCTGAGGGAGGGGGGGGCGGGGACATCGACCTGGAATCGGCAATGCAACGCCGACAGCTCGGCGGCAGGCCTCCCATAATTAGGGAAGCCGCACGCCCCTGGGCGGAGCGGGTTCTCAGGTCCTTGTCGGCGATCACTGGGCGATTGAGGGTTGATGCATCCCCCGCCATCGCTCGGACGTCCATTCCCCGTGCATTATTCGGCTTCGCGCATGCTTCACTACTTTTCGCGAGATGGTCCAGGATGCTCCTCGATGGCGCTCGCCGAGGAAAAAATGCCCACGTCCGAGCGATGCCAAGATACCCCTGAGCCTGTACCCCCTAACACTGCCCCTGAGAGGTCACCTGGGCCTCCCGGGAAGGGCTGGGGCCGCCTTGGGCCAGGGCCGCCTTGGGCCGCGGCCACCTCTGGCCACACCTGGGCCTCTCGCTCGCCCTGGCAAAAATTACACGCGCGACCGAGAATGAAGGAGAGAGTGGCGCAGGATCAGCCAGCATCGGATCGGAAGTCGGACCGAATCGGAACGTGCGTCGGACCGGACTGTATACCTAAGGCATTCGGTCATTCGCCCGACACAATAGTGCACGTATGATGTTGAACGTCTCACGCTCGCGAACCTACTCGAAGAATATCCACTATACTGTTCGCAGTGGGGGTTGAGAACATCAAATCATGGTTACGCTTCTGTCCCCGAATGGAGCCGAGATCGAATCGGATCGGCTGCGCCGGGACGCACCACAGCGCCACAGCAGGCATGCATCGGCCATCACTGAACCGTCGGAGTATCGGAAGAACGGGATTGGACAGGGCTAGCCGAGAACAACATCGAGTCAGGTCGGCTAAATCGAAGTGGCTCCTGACCGCAGCAGCTCCTGCGTGCTGAGGGCGTCGGCCAGCACACTCGTACGCGCGCGAGCGGGAAGCAAAAGAAAGATTAGACAACGACGCGCGAAGGAGCTGCTGCATCCTCGGCGTGCGGGAGCCACGCGTCGAAATTGTTGGTGTCGATGAACAAATAATCGATGCTGAAATCCGGGTAGACCACCTCCCCTTCTCCGCGTGCGCGCCCGCACGGCGCGCCGGCAGCACACGGCCAGGGTGGGGCCAGGGTCCACAATCGAGGACCAATCCAGAATCGAGGATCCGAGGTAAAACAGATGATCAAAGTGGACCCAGGGCCCATGATCCAGGATCGAGGCCGTTCTCGCCGCATCGAGGATCGAGCGGGTTCGGAGGGCAGACGAACCACACTCGCAACCAGCAACCAAACAAGCGAAGCCCTGTAGCAAGTACACCACAATAGAAGAAGAATCGAACAGGGGAGGGATGGTTCACCAAACGCCCATGGTGGTCTAGAAAACGCAAATGGTTGGGGTCGGGGTGGCTTCTCCTGCCTTGGCTTCTGGGTCTTCGTTCTGGGAGTCTGGAAGCCCCTGCGGAACCTCTGCGTATCCCAGCGCGAAAACAGCCCTGGGCGAAACCTGGAGGAGAAGCCACGCATACCCCCGCCGACCCTCCAAAGTTCATATCCCCGCCGACCCTCTTGAGAAGACTCCGCATACCCCCGCCGACCCTCCCTCTGTCAAGGTCCGCGCGGATCTCCTGGATCGGCACTTGACCCCCCTGGCGGCGCCTCTGGCGCAGCGCCAGGGACGGAGTTTCCAGCGCCGAATCAAGAAATATGTGCGGACCTCCGAAAAGTTAGACTGTATATCGGTTCTCTACTTCGATTCTCGACCTTTCGCCTCGCCCTGCGGACTCATAAGAACAGGGAGCCCACAACGGATTTACGCACCCAGCCGCGGACATGAATACGAACCACCAGTCCGCGACACCAGAGTCGTGCTACACACGTTCGCGCAACGCACACTCTCGAAACCGTCGCGGTGTCCGCGCAACGAGATGAGTTTGGGGGCGGGAAGGACGACGACGGCGACGACGACTCCGACGACGACAACGACTCGGCCAGGAGGGGCAGGCGCGGGCTCGGCGCTGCGGGGGGGGGAGGGCGGGCAGCGCGGCCGCCTTTGCGCCGTAGTACAAGCTGGGGGTCACCTGCCCTACTCCCCTCGCCCCCTCCCCCCCATCTCCCGCCGTCCTCGTCCTCCCTCCCCCGCCCTCCCCACTCCTCCTCCTCCTCGTCCTCCTTCTCCTTGCTACTCGGCTTAGCCATGACTCACCCGAGGAACTGTTCAATGGCGGCCCACTCGCAGACTTGGCAGTTCGGACAGTAATCCTCCTTCGTCCTCCACCTCGTCCCTCCTTCTCTCGCTCAACCCTCTCCTCCTCCTCATCCTCCTTCTTCCCCCTCTGCTCCTGATGCTGCTCTCCTCCCACTCCTTTCTCTTCATCCTCGTCTTCCCCCTGCTCCTCCTCTCAGGTCACGACAGTTCGTGCGTCGCGCTGCGAGAACATCTTCGCGCCGTCGCGCGACCATCCTGGAGAAGGGCAACGCTCTGGACCAGACCACGAAGTGCGAAATGAGCTTATATTGGCGCCCCCGCGGGTGACCTGGCTCCCTCCATCAAGTCGTATGCATCTCTCCTCCCTACTTCTCCCTCTTCCGTCTCTCCGTCCCTTCTGCATCCTCCATTCTCCATTATCTCCCCTCCTTGCTGGAGAAAGTCACGTCGTCCCCTTCTTCCACGGCTGCGCTTCCCACTCTCGGGCGCGAAAACTCTGTCGCCTTCACGTAGGCGGCCGCTGCGTGTTCTCATGGGCTGAATATCGTCCCGAATGCTTCCATCTTGCCCGTCGCAATCAGTCGTTCGCTTAGCTTCCTTTAACCTCCGGACCTTTCTGCCTAGAACCTCTAGGTGGATTCAACCGTGGCGACAAAGAGCACCCTAGGACACGCAAAAAGGCGAAGGGCACAGAAGATCTCGAATCTCACTCCTCGATCCTCTTTGCTTTGCGCCCCGACCCAGGCCTCATGTGTCGCTTTTGACGTGTTGTTGAAAACGCGTTGCTCTTTAAGAACATGCTGGTCTCCCGGAAGCAGCGACAGTTGCGCGGTTGCCAGCGCCCACGGGACCGAGATCCCATTCGGATATGCATAGGACACCACTTTGCTGGACCCCCCATGGGCCATATGTGCGACTGGCGGCCCCCGGGCAGGCATTGTCCCATCTGGATCAGGGCGACGAGGTGGAGGATGGTTAGGAGGTGGTAACTAGTAGGTACGACGTTGGAGACAGGAGCGGGGAGGGGGGAAGAAGGGCGGGGGCGGGACAGTGCGGGAGGAGAAGGAAGGAACAACAGTGCTCTATTCAAAACGAGCACCAACACCACAAAGAGGGTTGGACAACAACTGTCCAGACACAGCTGGGCAGGAGAAGAGATCTGGAGACTGGCGCGCTAGGGGGCCCCAACGCTGCTGACCCGCGACGTCCGCATAGAGCTCCGAATGCGTATGCGTATGCGACTCCGGTTCTTCGAACGCCGAGCGGAGCACCGGGACACAGGGGGATTGGGGCTCGAAGCTTTTAGACGCCGTCGGCCCTCCTGTGGTCTCTGGGGGCCCCGAAGGAGAAGAAGCAGACACAAACGCTGAGTGGAGCACCCGGCGGGGTTACCTCGTACCTGGTCCCAGCGCACCTTGGGAGAGAAGAGGAAGACGGCAAAAACCTTGGCCCCGCTGGTCGAACTATGGGAAGGGTGCCGTCGTCTCCGGGTTTCGCAGCACCGATCCCTGCCTAGGGAGCGTCCGCTGGAAAAGCTACCTTGTCCTGTCTCAGTCAGGGTGGGGATCGCTCGGACGATGACAGTAGAAGATGCTAGCGGCACAGTTTCTTGAGGCAGTGGACATCCTGCTCGAACCCACTTGGAGGTGATGCTCTGAACCGCAGACCATGCTTCAGGAACGAAAAGAACTTACTGGGAGCATCAGGGACCCACATCACGCTAGAGCCAAACTGGGCACACACTGAAACAACTGACACATGTTACGGCATACATGTTACGGCATTGTACTTCGTTGATGTGTTTGAGATCCAACGATTGGCTGTGCCCTGCTTTACGGTGCGTTGAATTGCCCTGCGCTCTGATGCCATACGCTGCGTTCCACTTGTTTGATTCGCGTTCCTCTGTTATGCTTTGAACCGCTCTTGCACGCCTGGCTCTGCACGGCGTTGCACAGCGCTGCGTTGACATGCCATGCGGTACGCTGCAGTGTTTTGCGTCGCCCTGAAATACATTGAGTTGCGCTGCGCCATTTTTGTTCCCGAGGGAGGGAAACCATCCCCTGATCCCCGAGGGAAGAAATGCCCAGGGAACGGGGTGGGGGCACCCGAGAGAGCCCTCTCATGGTTTCCCCAATCGTCCTGTGTTGAGATCTGCTCTTGAACAGAATACGATGCGCACGTCTCCTTCTCCTCCCCCCTCCTCTTGCACCGTGCAACCTGCCTGCTTACTTGCCGCATGCCTTGCGTTTCCCCTCGGGGACTGCCAACAGAGCACCTGTCGTCACTTTCGTGGGTCACTGGGCGTCCCAGTGGTGGACTGGGTTTGTACTCAGATCCAGACAAAAGTTCGCGACCCCCTTGCGGGCTTGCCAACTGCGCAACTGTCGCCACGCTCGTAGGTTCGTGCGGGGTCCAGCGAACTTGAATTGCACGCAGATCCACACGAGACCACGCGGACCCCTGAAGGTTTTGCCAACTGCGCAGCTAATTGTCGCCATTGTCGAAGGGTCCAAGCACGCTCAGCGCGATGAGGTTGCACCCAGGTCCAAGCAACACCTCGTGGCCCCCTGAAGGCTGCCAATGCTGCAACTGTCGGCGCTGTCGTCAGCCCCTGGGACGTCCAACGGGATGCACCTGCACACGGGCCAAGCAACATGTAGGTGCACGCGGATGGGGACGGGACCTCACGCCCCGCTTGTCGGGCTGCCAATTGCGCAACTGTCGCCACTTCCGAAGGTTCTCAGAATGGACTTGTACACGGGTGCAAACGACACCTCGCGGCGGGCTGCCATCTGCACTCGCCCTTTTCGAAGGCTCCTGGAGGGTCCACCGCACAGGAGTCGCACACGGATCCAGACGAGACCTCGCGGCCCAAGGGGGGGGCTGCCAATTGAACGACTGCCGTCACTTTCGTGTTCCTGGGCGGTCCAACGGAGTGAAGTTTCACGCGGATCCAGACGAGACCTCGCGGCCCCCTGGGGGGCTGCCAACTGCGCATCTGCCGCCACTTTCGTGGGGTCTTCATGGGCGGTCCAACGGAACGGATTGGCACGCGTCTCCAGACGAGGCCTCGCGGAACCCTACGGGGCTGCCAACTCTGCGCAATGGTCCCCACTTTTGCGGGCTGCTGGCTGGGAGGTCCAATGGGGCCCGTTTGTACGCGGATCGGCACCAGACCTCACGGCCCCTTCGGCGGCTGCCGACTGCGTAACTGCAACCACTCTCGCGGGCTCCTCATAGGCGGTCCAAGGGAACGGATTCGCACGGATATCCAGACGTGACGAGACCTCGCGGAACCCTGGGGGGGGGGCTGTCAATTCTGTTGTAAAAGTGTCGCCACTTTTGTGGGCTGCTAAGAGGTCCAATGAGACGGGCTGCACGCTGCACGCGGATCCAGACGAGACCTCGCGGCCCCGTCGGGGACTGCCAGCTGCGTAGCTGTAGCCGCTTTCTAGGGCCCGATGGAAGCCCAGCGAAGTGGAATTCGAACGAGACCTCGCAGCCCCTTGGGCGGCTGCCAGCGCAACTGTCGCCATTTCCGGGAGCTCTTGGGATGTCCAGCGGCGTGAAGTCCCTGATGGGGGTACCACCTTTGTGGGCCCCTGAGACGCCTGCGGCGTGGACAGCCTCTGTCTGCACCTGTGCGCCATGTTGTCTGAGAGAGCGACCTCGGAGAAACTGCTCGTGATCCACGACCTGGGCTTGGACGCTCTCGCTCAGGGGCCTTCGGCCGACATTGCGTCACGCCTGCGGCCTTGTACTGCCCGCGCGAAGCACTGCGAGGAAGAGGCCAAAAAACAATGCCCACCATGCGTCTCAACCTGGAAGCGCCCTTGCGAAGCCGAGGTATCAGAAAGCCCTTCCTCATCTTAGCCCCCAATGCGGTCCTGAGCATGTCCTCGCCGTCGTCTTTCTGCGTGTTCTTATCCCCTGCTCTCCTACCCTCCTTCTGTTGGGCGTCGTCGTCATCATGCCGTTCCCCGCCCATTCACTATCAGTCGGGATTTCTCTTGCACCTATCCCACAGGAGGACTGCAACACATGGGCCTCGTATGCAGCTTCCGCAAAGAATCGCGAACCCCGTCGTATCATCAATCGTATTGGCCAGTCAACACTATGCCGTCCGCCGTTGCCGGATTCCCCACCGAGGGTGGGGGGGAGAATCCTGCACAGAGTCAAAATTGCCACCAGGCTTCCTGCACAAAGATGTCAAACCAGCTGTAGCAGGACCAACTATAGGGACTAACATGACTCCGCGCAACGAATACGGATGCTTTCCACGCGAGGCGACAATGTCAAGAGACACCTGGCAAGCTTTGGATCATCAAGCACAAGCGAGCCATGTGTGCATACGTCCTTGGCAAGCATAACTTGCAAATAGTCTGACAATGTGCCCTCTGGTACGTGCAGGCGTTGCAGAATGCCACGTGCTGCCTGGTAAAGTTTCTGACAAGTTTCTGAGAGGCCCCCACCCCTTGTCCTCACGCATCACTACATGCATCTCCTTCCTCATCCCGAGGGTACTGGCGGGCGCGGCGCACCTCCAACATGGCCTAACATTGCCTCAAGAGCCACCCGACAACCAGCAAAAAGAGCCCAATAAGAGCCGAAGGGACCCCGACACGACCTCATTACTCCAAGGACAAGGCCAAGAGGCTCTCCAGGTGGGCCAAAACTCATCGAACACCTGAACACACAACTGACTTGCTTCTCCGTGTCGTCAACTTCCCTGCCTTTTCGTCCCAATATGGTTCCATGCATGTCTCGGAGAAGCGAGCGAGAGGCCAAACAATGCCCCAACAAGCCCGCCTTAGACGACCCAGGGCAGCGCCAAGAAGGCCCCAAAGCGACAAAGAGGGGCACAGGACTGCCCAAGAGAACCACGAGATGGCCCACGGAGGCCCCAAGATGCTCCCAATACTGTCCCAAGAGAATAACCAGACGGCCGAGAGGGACCCAAGACGGCCCGGGCCCAAAACAAGGCCCAACGGGAGCCTAAGGCAGCCTCAAGATGGCCCAGCCCACATGAAAGCCCGCCGAAGAATACAAACGAGACATGTCAGATGTTGCGTCCTTCTGGACTGTGCCCGAAACGTCGCCACGCTGGGTGGTGCGCTGACACGGTGACGGGACTTGCCGCAGGTCACCAGACAAGAATATCAACGCGCGACTGTTCTTATACGCAGCCCCTATGCGAGGTAATCGTCAAGCAATTTAGTGGAAGCCGCGACGGTGCTCCCGGACATGTCATCGCTCACAAAACCCTTGGCGTCGGCACGGAGAGCGGCACGAGTGAGTGACTCGTTGATGCGCTCATTCAGCACATCATTGATGTTCTCTCCCATGCGGCCCTCGACAGGACATGAGACGACAGCGATCCTGTGCAGGTTTGGGGCCAACGCCGACATCTTCCAGGGAGCAAGCCCACGGTCAACAGACACGTCGGCTACAGTGGGGTACACAATGAGATTGACATAAAACGGCTTCGCACCAGATCGGCCCATAAAGAATCTCCAATGGGTCCTTGTCGGGTTTGTGAGACTTTGGGGAAATTCAGGATGTAGCTGCAAGCCAATCTTGGGCAGGACATATATCATAAATTGAACTTCCTGCTTGCAAGCGGGACCACCTTCCACAGCATAGCAAGACAATTTGCAGCATTTCGGTGCGTTCATGCGCACGAGCGTCAGGAAGTTCGCTGCGAACGTGACAGACCATGCGTGACATTCGACCGTTGCCAACACATTGGTGTAGAAGTTCGTCTTCATGGCACGCACGGTGTCGGCGGCGGAGCGCTCACCGACCTCTGTGACGACATGCAGGTCGTCCAGCGCAGCCTTGGTCTTCGTGATCTCGTCCTCGACTGCGGAGAAGTCGGCACTTGGCGGCGGTTCTAGGCCATCAGGGAACCACTTCTTCGGAGCGCGCGGTTGCACACCCATAGCCGATCGCTCATGTGCATGCTTTTCTTTGAGAGCCCGCATGCGCTCTGCATTCTCAACTTTCAGACTCTTGACTTCCTCTCTCTGGCGCTCAAACATCTGCCTCACAGCCGCGCTGCCGCTGGACGTCATCCAATTCTCAAATGCGACAGGCTTCCCGCGAGCACCTGTGAGCCCTTGAGTCAACTGGCAACTGCGAAAGCCCAACCGAGGAGTGGAAATCGGCGTGATGAGCAAAACAAGGCTGTAAGTCGGCTACGCAGGCTGGAAGCGCGCGGTTAACTGTGATGGCTGTGCATGCGCAGAGGCCTGCGAAGAGCAGGGGGGACGCTGGCGGAAACAGAAACACCCGGATTGGGGAAAGGTTTTCGCCTCTCAACGACATCTCGGGTTGTGGGTTGCATGGCGCGGTCAGTCGTGGGCCCCGGCGCCTATCGCCGACGTATCGGCGCGATGTACCGCCGTTTCCATGCTGTTGTTTTCCCCCCTGAGCCAGTGACCCTCCATGAGAAGAGGAAGGATGAGGTTGTGTCAGGAGAGAGGGGGGGAAGACGGGGGGGCAAATGGAGTCCCACAGCTGCACCAGGCTATAGCGACGGATGGCGGTGCTGGTCTTACGTCTGACTCCGTCACGGCAGAACTTCGGCTTAAGGGCCGATGTCGATTCGATCGATCGAATTCGAAATCGATTCCAGCAGGCCGGATCCGATTCGATCCAGATGTTCCGACGATCCGATGCGGCCCGATGCTTGCGTATCGTTGTTGTGCGTCCTGGCGCAGCCGATCCGATTCGATCCCGATGCAGCTCAATCCGATGCACATTTCGATTCGATTCAATTTCCCGATTTGTCGCCGACTGATTATGCCGAGCCCACCATGCTCACAGAGCCAACAGCCAGTCGGCAGACAGCGGCGCCAGTCGTGCACGACAGCCTAAAGGCGTTGCTGGCGCAAGCCATGAGAAAAACCCGCCTCAAGGGCTGAAGCATCTCACGATCACTGTATCAGCACCGCGTCAAGTGGCAACAGATCGTTGGCTATGATCGACGAGCAAACATCAAGATCAAGAGAAACTTCACAAGCCATCGAAAGCACAACGACCCGTCCAGAGATTACACCATGAGACCATGTTCTCATGTGCCAGGGACAAATCGGGCAGCGCAGCCGTAGCCAGTCAAGATAGTGGCCTCCAATGAGATGCTCACCTCACCGCGTCACGGAGCGCTAGTGAAAGCCTCCCGAATGGGGTTCGAATAAATGGTGTCGGAAGATCGCGCCGCTTTGTCGATGCATCGCCGATGCACCCGCAACGTCAGGACGGGGAAAATCCGCAGACCCTGTCGGCGTGTGTGAGGGGTTCGTCTGTTCGAGTCGTCGTCAACGTCGGTCGTCGTCTCCGTTGTCCCCTTTCCCTGTACCCTCCTCTTTAAGCTCGTCAGCGGGAGAATAATATGGCAATGTCGCAGTGGAGTTGAGGGGAAGCCACTTCGCTTTGATCCTTCACCCGTCGGGAAGGGGTCAGGGTGGGATAGAGGGGGTGGTCCCGGGGGGGGGGTCAGATACAGTGGAGGCCAGTCTACAAGAAACCTTCCACAAGAAACTCAAACCTGAGATCCCAGGACGTCCATCGATGTTTGGTGTGGGAACGTCACGCTTTCCATAGCACAACCATCGAAACCCAAGAGAAACCCAGGGCACTCTGAAGGCGAGCAGGGTGTTTCTTGGCATGGGCCTCCACTGTACGAATCCCCCCCCTCCCGGTGCCTCAGAAAGTACTCAGACAGGCCAAGAATGCCCAAAGAGGCACCCAAGACGGTCCAAGATGGCCAACGATCACGCCCTCCAAGCTGCCAAGGGGGCCTCTAGGACGCCCCAAGAAGCCTCGCGTTTTCGCTTTTTCCACTTCCCGCCGCTCCAACACGGCGCAAGAGGCCCCCAAGATCGCCCCAAGACGACCCAAGAGGCATCCAAGAGTGCCGCAGAACACCCAAAAAGAATCCCAAGACTGCCCAAAACGCCTGCAAGACGGCCCAAGAGGCCCCCAAGACTGCTCCACGAGCGTGCCCAGACGGGGGACCCGAACGGACATTTCGAGCCCTCGGCCCCGAGAGGCTCCAGGAGGCTCAAAAGAGATCCCCAAGAGGCCCCAAGAGGCCCACAAAAGGTTCCCAGGAAGCCCGAAGAGGCCCCCAAGAGGCTCCAAGAGGCCCCGAAGAGGCTCCCAAGAGGCCTCAAATTAATCCGAAGAAGCCCCCGAGAGCCTTCCGAAGAGACCCCAAGAAGCATCCCTGAGGACTCTGGCCGGCGTCAGCGTCGTCGTCGTCGTCGTCGCCAACGCCTTTGTCGTTGTCGTCGTCGTCGTCGTCGTCGTCGTCGTCGTCGTCGTCGTCTCTTTTCCCACTGTGTATCGCGCCGCATCGCCGATGCACCAGCGATGCGGCACGATCCTTCAGCGTCATATGCTCTGGCGAGGCCCGAACTCGACGACCGCCGTGGCCGGATTCGACCTCATCGGCCGTATGGTGCCTCATCCTCCTCCTGCTATTTTTTTTTGTCTCTTCATCCTATTCTTCCTCCGTTTCGTCATCCGCGTCCTCATCCTCGTCGTTCATCTTCCTCCTCTTCCTCCTCCTCCTCCTCCTCCTCTTCCTCATCCTCTCGTTCGTCCCCCCCTCCTCGTCCCCCTCTTCGCCGTCCTCCTCAACGTCGTCCTCCTCCTCCTCGTCCTACTCCTCAGCCCTGCTTGACCTCCTCCTTTCATCCTTCTCCTCCTACGCCGCGTCTACTGATCTCGCGCCTCGCGCCAGGGGTGGCGCGACACGTTCCGCGCTCCCGCGCCGCCCAACCCTGGAGAGAGTCGGGCTAACTTCAGGAGGTCTTTACGTGTGCCTCCCTCGTCCATCCTCAGCCTCCTGCTCCTCCTCCTCCTTCTCCACCACCTCCTCCTCCTCCTCGCCTTCGGCCGCCCCGATAAACCGACAGCGAGCGAATCCTCAGCGAATTCTGCTCCTCCTCCTCCTCCTCCTCCGCCTCCGCCTCCGCCTCGGCCTCCGCCTCCTCCTCCTCCTCCTCCTCCAGCTCCTCCTCCTGCTCTTCCTCCTCCTCCTCCTCCTCCTCCTTCTCTTCCCCCTCCTCCTCCTCCTCCTCATCCTCCTCCTCCTCCTGCTCCTGCTCCTCCTCCTCCTCCTGCTCCTCCTCCTCCTCGTGATCATGTTCGTAGTCGTCGTCGTCGTCGCCGCGGCAGAACTTATTTCCCCTCATTTGTTGGGCAGGCTGGATCATGTCTGGGGGCTTTTTCTCCCAGGGAATAGCACTGTGGGCTACCATACACGCTAGGGGATATGTGAGCATATTATGAGGATCGCTATGGGAATCAGTTGTCGTGATTGTAGTCGTTGTTGTGGTCGTGGTCGTAGTCATAATCGTAGTCGAACTCGTAGTCGTAGTCGTCGTCTTCGTCGTCGCGGCAGAGATGGTGTTCCCTCTCGTGTTGGACGGGTTGGAAAAGTATGAGGGGCTATCTTTGTTTGTTTGTTTGTTTGTTTTTTATTTTCTCTCTCTCTCTCTCTGAGAATAATGCTGCCTGGGCTACCCTGCACGACAAAGAAATGTTGAGCACGTTTGTAAAGAGGATTGCAATATAAACCAGCACGTTCTTCGCCGATGGCGTTGCTCACCATCTCTTCCTTCGTCTCGTCGACGTCGTTTTCATTGCGCGGCGGGTGCCGCGGTGAAATGGCTACTTTCCCACTATTGGTGGGGCCCCACTCCGTCAACAAGGTCGCCGAACATGTCATTTGTTTCCACTACTGGGCGGGGGTCTAAAGACCTATGGGCGTTCACTCGAGAGTGAGGGGCAATGCTAAGGGGGGGACCAGCTCCTGGTAGAACCATCTGTCTGTAGTTGGTGTCACGTCGCCGATAAATCGGCGACGGGCCCACGATGGCGGAAACCACACGGTCCTGGGCCCTGGGCTGGGCGGGCTATCGGGCCCCTATCGGCGATGAATGGGCGATTGGGGAGTCGACGCACCCCCCTTTCACGTTGTCCCTGAGGGTGGGCGCGCGGCTTCAGAGGGGCGCGGGGGTGGGGCAAACCGAAGCGCGCCGCGCAAGCCGCTGCTGTCGCATCGCATTCAGCGATCGGGGGGGGCACACCGGGTCACCCCGCGAAAGCGTCCTCTTGCAAGCAGCCGAGAGAAAGAGAGAGAGAGAGAGACAAACAAAAAAAAAAGTTCCTCTGCCCCAGTCCGCGCATTGCGAAGCGCGCCATTCCTCGCGCCCACGGACGCCCCTGGAGGGCCTCAAGAAGGCTCTTATGAAACCCCCTCCTAGCACAAAAGCCCGCATGGGCACCAGCAGCACCGCAGGGCTGGCTCCGGCTGCCGCCCACGCTGCCCCCTGCTCGCCCAGCGGCCGGTGGACGGCGCCCCCTGCATCCAGGTGTAGTGGATGGCCTCGGCCAGGACACGGTGACGGCGTGAGTCCTCCTCCTCCTCCTCCTCTTCCCCCTCCTCCTCCTCCTCCTCCTCTTCCTCCTCCTCCTCCTCCTCCTCCTCCTCCCACTCCTCCTGCTACTCCTCCTCCTACTCCTCCTCCTACTCGTACTCCTGCTCCTCCTGCTCCTCCTGCTCCTCCTGCTCCTCCTGCTCCTCCTGCTCCTCCTGCTCCTGCTCCGCCTCCTCCTCCTCCTCCTCCTCCTCCTCCTCCTCCTCCTCCTCCCCCTGCTCCCCTGCGGGGGGAGGGGAAAATAGTGGCAATGTGAGAAAGGGGGCGTCTGAGACACGGGCGATGCGCAGGACGCACAGATGGAAAAGTGGGCGGGGAGACGAGGGGTGAGCATCGGTTCACCGATCCCTGTCCCCACTGGCATGGCCTCGGCCCCGCTGGCCGACTACCACCTTTCAGAAGGGGACATATGTTGACCCCCTCGGTTTTCGCGGAACACATCCGAAATACAGTGGCCCAGCTGGCATGGGGATCGGTTGAAGGACATCCAGGGGGTGAAGAAGCGGAAGACAGGATGGGAAGGTGGCGGGAGCACAGGAGACGCGAGCGGGGAGAAGCGGGGAGGGTCTCTGCAGGGGCCAACGAATCCCGCGCGGGCCACGGAGTGATGACGTGCGAGGCGCAGGGAGTCAAGAAAGATGCGGCTGCGGTTGCGCTCCGGGGGCCCTCCAGGGCTCTCCGAAGGCAGGGCGGCCTCGAAGTCAGAGAGCCTCGCAAGAAGTCCCGCCCTCCCAACCGAACACGATGGTGGCGCCGCTGCTGCCGTGGCCTTTCAGTTGCTGAGGCCGAGCGCGGGGGCGCTGGGCCGAGCGTGGCCCTGTGGGCCTCGACGCCAGGAGGAGGGGGCAAACAGCGGACCCATGCGCCATAGTTCCCCAAATGGTGGCTCGTCAACTGCAGGCATCGTCGGGGGTTGGCGCCGAAGTGGATGTGGCCTTCTGGGGAAAAGCGGAAGGGGGCTGAAGTCCCCAGGAAAAAAACCTCCGAGGAGCCCTGCCGAAAACACCCAGGCACTTCTGAAAGACACGCCAGCCTTCCCAATAACCCCATCCACGTGCTCAGAAGGCCGCCCTACTCGTCCCCCCCACGCCCCACTCGCCACGTGCGCGCCGAACCCCTCTTGGCTTCTCCCGCTGCGCGACGGGTTCTTCGCACGGCGGCCGCGGCGACCGCCGCGCCGCGGTGGTCGTGCCCTGGGCCATCCCGGGCACCTGGAAATCTTCGGGGGTCGCAGGCCCTCCATGGTCCAGACGCGGGGTTCCTCCTTATCCCCCCAGACAGAAATAGACACGTCGAGAAAAAAAGAAAGAGACATAGAGAAAGAGAGAGAGAGAGAGAAAAAAAACAAAAAAGAAAAAAAAAGACACGCACACAAAAACGAGAGAGAGAGAGAGACACGGGAAAATGAAAGGGAGGCCTCTCTTTCTGCGGTCAGAACCGCCACGTAAGACTGGCAACGATGTTCACGGCCGCCAGGCACCTCGTCTGGAGAGACATCAAACAAGGTGCCACCAACGCGTCGTGGGCGCCTCGCTTCCTTGAGACATGTCTGAATCCAGAAAGGAGACACGAGGCGACACCAGGCGGACCAACTGCAGGTGCATCATGAACAAGTATGAGAAAAAACAAGGTGGATGGAAGTTGACCCACAAAACTGTGGCGCGGTGCGCCCGTGGCGCGGCAGGTCCAAAAGCGGCCAATGGCGGCCGACCCCAGCCCACCCACCCCCACCCACTGCACCCTCGCAGCAATGAGTTAGAGCGGCAGGGTGCAAGTAGGAACGGGAACACCTTGGAAGAACAACCATCGGACATACATGCAGACTCAAAGTACACGAGCGGGTCGGGCGGGCTGCGCCCCCGCTGGATACGGGAAAAGGTTGGACGCCCGGGAGGTAAGTCAGCAACGAAACAAATAACCAATGCGGATGCTTCGGAAAACTGGGCGGAAGGATGAAGATGCATAAGAGAAGTTTGCCACGACCCTGCATCAGCGACGTCCATCTGACATGGGTTCGTCACCACGGATGCCCCCCGCATTTTCTCTCTGGGCGGGACGCAGGTAAGGGGGCGGCGCGGCGGGGCCCAAACGCGAGAGCACGCCCGATCGGAAGGCGCCCTGCCACGAAACAAACGTCAACCGATCGGAAGCCCCGACTCAACCTGTCAACGTATAATTCGGCAGAGTTCGTTCCTGAACGTCGGCAATTGTAGAACACGGCGGCGCCGCTGTCCTGCGCAATACTTGCCTCGCGGGCGCCAGCCCAATCGAGGGTGGATCGGCCTGGGATGGCTGAATCGCCAGCCGAACCGCACGCTCAAGAAGGAGCCCACACAGGATGGCGATGCCTTTCCAAGCCATCATCGCGCCGCCTCGGGTTTGAAAACATCTCGCGCTGGCGGGTCGTACCCGTCTGAATCTGCATCGGCTGAAAGGGATCTGATCCTGGATTCAAAGAGAGCTGCCACAAACGATGCCGAGGGCGAGCTTCACGGCGGGATCTTCTAGGGCAAGGGTGGCGCAGTGCACTTGTTCACATGGCATCTTCTATAATCGAAGCCGCAGCGCCCCGCGAGCGGCGGGCAGGGAGCTTCTTCCTGGGGCCAACGAGGGACTGGAGCCAAGCTGCTTCTGGGCGCTGCACGCGGGCCTCGGTGCCGGGCGCCTATACAACTGGCGTTGGACTCGCCCCAAGATCAGCCTCCTCAGCGATTTTCTCCTGGACCCCGTCTGCAGATCCCGCCTTTTTCCAAATGTCTCGAGGGCGCGCCCCCGGAACTGGATTTCATTCCCCCCGCTGCCTGAATTTCGCCTCCTCCGTCCGATCCGTCTCGTCCGCGGCGAAAGCCCGGCGCTCTGGCCCGCGCCGCAACCCCCCCCCCCTGCGCGCTGAATCTCGAGATCTCGAGCCTCTTCCTCGACGACAACCCAAAGCGACGGGCGTGCCCTCCCAGGCCTGTCGCACGGCCATCGCGATCGGATTTGCGCCCCTCGCCTCCTGTTCCAGTCGTGGTCGGATAACCACTCGGTCGGGGCCGTCGCGCCCCCTCGCGCTCGGATAGCAATTGCAGCCGTGGTAGTCCGCACCCCGAACGCCCCGAACCTCGCGCGGGTCGCGATCGCGGCCCTTGGCGCTCTACCCGTCTAGGCCGCGACGACGCAAATAGCGGCCGCTGTCGCGCCTCTGCCGCGATCGCCGCTGGCGTCGCGCCCCCCGAATAGCTCGCGACGAACTGGGGCGCGGTCACGTCCTCGACGGGGCCCAGTTCTGGGGCGCTCGCGGATCTTCCCTGGGCCGCCATCGCGCATGGCCCGCGGCTAGCGAAGGCCATCAGCACCCATGGGTGCGCGATGGGAAAAACCAATGTCGCGCTCGCAAAACCGCGCGAGCCCCCTGCAGCCACGGACCTGGGGCACGCGTGAACCAATCCCACGATGAGGCTGGCAGGGTACCCCACGACGTGGAACTTCAATGCCCAGGACGCAGTAACCAGCACAGGTACACAGAGATACGGCGCCCTTGCGAGCGCGCCTGGACAACAACCAAACCATCATGTTGAAGCCCCGCGGGGGCTTGCCAGGCCATGGATCCCCGGCAGCGCGTTCGTCTGCGGCCGGTGCCCATGATCCCACAGCAAAGACGTCCGATTCTCACTCGCGGGGGCCATCCAAATCAGGTACGAAGGCCAAACAATTCCATGCCCGGCCTCGCGAGCGGGGCGACGTGCCCCCCCCAGTCGGAGGCGAAGCAAAGAGTGACCGAATGCACCTCTGCGAGGTACGCGCGCGCCAGGTCCTGCAATGCGCCGCGCCGACACCAACGATATTGTCCACGCGGTGTCTGCGGCGAATCTCAACGGGGCCCGGCTCCGGCGAAACACGGGGGACCGAGGACTGCAATTGTTCCGGCCGGGGCGGGGCGCTCAATTCGGAAAGGGCGAGGGGGGTAGATGGGGGCAGCCCCAGGAGATGCGCGGCCGATGGGAAAACCCCGAAATTCATGCAAGGCCTCGAACCGCCACCAGCGATAACCAACAAATGGCGAACATGGTAGGGGAGACATCACTCAATATTGCCTAGAAGTGGTCTGGCGGGGGCCCTGACTGGAACGTCCACGCTCGTTCTCTCACCCCCGTTTGACGCGCGATGCGCCCGGCCCTGCGCGGGGCGCGATGAGCGGGGCAACCTCCTCCCAAGCTCAGCCGAATTCCTCCGCGTTGAACTGCGACTGGTGAGCGCGCGCCGCAAGTCGAGAGGCGCGGCAACGGGCGCGCGGTCTTCCGGACCCCGGCCGAGGCGGCATTCGCGTCGAAGACCTCGCGCGACACTGCGCTGGCGCGCGCAAGCGACAAGCCGCCCTGCCCGCGACGCGATTCCAGTGGGCGCCTGGAACGTCGGTGGAAACGACGATCCAACGCGCGCAGCCGCTGCCGCGTTCGGCGCTGCAGTGGGCCGCATCTGAAAATGAAGTACGCACCCTTCACCGCGGGGCAGATGCAGGGGTCACCGGGTGGGCACCATGTTCTTGGAATGGCGCCATGCGGGGAGACCTGGCGAGGCCCGTGTCCACTGCCCCACTGCTGCATCAGACCTGGGGATACAATGTCCCGCCGGCCAATCGCAATGCCTTTCTACGGTTTGTTGAGGTCATCTAACTTCACCAACGCCATTTGCCACCCATGACGCGTCAGCCTGCGATGGGCCAGAAGTCGCCGTGCTACAGTCTCCTTGCTCACGATATATTTGCGTGATCCGCGCATAGGGGGGAGATCGCGCCGCACGAACGCCAGCGCGGCCATAACAATTGAACATCTGCCTGAGGCACTCCATACCTCGACGGGGCACGGGCGGAGCAAAGCGAGCTGCTGGAGACTGCGCTAGAAGCCTCGCCGTCGCGCCTCCGATCGGGGCCCGAAAAACGAGAAAAAAAAAAATGTCGACATGCCCCCGGTACCTGTCGGAACGATGAGCGCCGCAACAGCGGCCGGCTAGAACGCGATCCACATTCGGTGAGCACCAAACATGACTCGGAGTGCCAGTCGGCACTGCACGCGAACAGCGTTGAACTCCACGTGTCAGGTCGCGTCCCCGATCGGCCTTCGGACGGTCTTCTGGAGACGGCGCTCGCGGAAGTCAATCGGTAGCTCGAGCGTCGGGCGCCGTGCAGCTGGAAGCCCATGCATTTTTCCAAATAGCGGTCGATGCAACGTCGCGCCAATCGTTTTCTGGCAAAAATGCACAGGAACTCTGTGGCGAGGGAAGCAGCCTTGAATCATATTGCACCCTCTTCTTGCCTGGGGCTTCGCGCGCAAGGCGAGAGAAGGCGCCGTCGCGCTGCCAGAACAGCGCGTGGAAGACCTGCGCGAGTAAGTTCCGAAAAGGTCCCGGGAAACATTGCGAAAGGCACTGTCGGGGCCCTGCGGGGGGATGGCACAATGGCTCGGGCGGCCGTCAACCGCGCAAGGGGAGGTCTTGGTCGGAGGCCCTTGCGTCGGGGGGGCAGGTGGAGAACGCCAGAACGCCGGATGCACGTCGATGGCCCGCCTGCTCCGATTGTCTCATTTGCCTTCGTCGTGAATCGCCCAGACCCGCGAATCTCCAGTGTCTCATCGCGGAAACTCCTTCGGCCAGGTCCCGCAATGTCAGGATGAAAAACAACGGACTGCCATTTGTCCTTCACTTAATGTACCCCAGGTTGGTGTTTGTTTCCCACAGAGGCACGAAATCGCCCTCCATGATCTTGTCCGTCCTGGAAGCGCAGGTAGGTTGGCCTGTCCGAGTAAGTGCACTTCCTACGAACAAGCGGCGTGGGATCCGAGAAGTTGCGCAAGTGCGCGACGAGGTGAGGTGGCACCTCCAAGCACCGCCAAGGAGTCCTATCTGCGCGATCGGTTCACTCCAATCGAAGACCACGCGACGCCACCCAGGATGTCCAATCCTCGCGCGCCCACATATATATATATATACATATATATATATATATAACGCATAGCACGGAACGACGAGCTTCTGCTGGCCACGGCGGTCCCTTCGTCACAAACGAACTCTACGACATGAAGATACGAGACGGCCCAGAAACCCGAGCCCCTTGTGGAGCCGAAGGTGGCCCTCATTTTCAGTGTAGCATCAGGGCAGCCTTTGCGGCCAACGGGGAAGACAACGCACCCTGCCATGAGGAGGACGACGCCGATCAAATTCCATAAGGCCGCACCCCTGAACACCTTCATGCCCATGAGTCGCCGCCCCACAAGCTCGCACAAGGCAGACGGGAAAGTGGCGACATAAGCTCGAATAGCTATCCAATCCTTGATTTGCCCTCCTGCTGCTTCCTCCGTGTCGCCCGATCCCTTGGTGAAGACAGAAGAGAAGAAAGACTTCGCCTGCTGGACTTCAGCAGACTGCTCAACGGGAAACGGCATCACGAATCGTCGGAACTCCAGCTCCGACTCCTCGGCATCGTGGTTCCCATTGTCGCGGCGATAGAAAAAAGGGGCTAGGGCGCATCGCATTAAACATCTGCTCGACCTCGGCGTATGAATCCTCTGCGTACGACTCCGACTCCGCTGCGCGATCGTACCGTTCCCACAACGAGAGGGTCCTCAGCATCATCTGACGTGTCTGCCCCTGGCAGGCTGCATCCTCGCGCTGAAACCTCTTCAAGAAGCCAGCCTTCCTCCTCGCCGATCAAAAGCGAACTGAAACAGATGGGTGAAGGTGGGCTGTTCGCAGAAAGGTGAAACAGGACGAATGCATTGGTGCGGTAGATTAGGCACAACAACATATGTAAAGGATGAAATGGCAATCGGGCCCGAACGGATGCACTACGGAAGACTAAGTTTACGGAGCCGTGTGGTTCCCGTAGCCGTCGGTGACAAAAACTGGCTTGATCCGAGATTGGTGAGAGACCCTGTCTACTGCTAAATCTACCACCAAAGCCTGGTCAGGATCTTCACGGACATCCGGCACCTCTTACGTAGGAGAAACCCAACACAAAGCTACGAGCGTGTCGTGGGCACCCTGCTCCCAGGAAACGAGTCTGATTGAGAAAACGGAAACAGCGAGCGAATTAAACGCATCGGGATCACAACGGAGTTGGGGAAAAGACACCACGTAATAGGATGAAGTGACCCTCGCAGGGTGGGTGGAAAAGGAGAGCGAGAGAGAGAGAGAGAAAGACAGAGAGACAACGAGACAGAGAGAGAGAGAAGAAACACAATATAAGTGAGACAGAGAGAGAGAGAGAGAGAGACGAAGGGAGAGAGAGAGAGAGAGAGAGAAAGAGAGAGAGACAGAGAGAGAGCGAGAGAGGACCACAAAAAATGAGAGAAGGACAAAAAGAGAGGGACAGAGAGAGAGAGAGAGACCACGCACACCACACAAGACACCAAACACACAACGCACACACACACTAGCAAGCACAAACACAAGCGCATACACACCTACGCACCACTGGGAAACGAAACAACCATAGTCATACCATGCCCGGCTGAGGCTGGGCGATGGGGAGGAAGAACGGCCTCCAGCCGCATGTGCCTGAAACGTGTGCATGCTGGCCCGCCCAGGGACGAGGAGAGAAGGAGGCACAAGGAAAGGACGAAGGGGATGAGGAGGGTGGAACACAATGAAGCGGAGGGGGGGAGCAAGGGGTGGAGGGGAACGACGAAGGTGAGAACGAGATGGAGGGGAAGGGAGGGGGCGAGGAGGGATTAGGAAGATGAGAGGGAGGATGGAACAGACGGAAGAGGAACGAAGCAGGAGAAGGCCAAAGGACGAGGGCAGGGAGGCAAGGAGGGAGCCTGGTCCCAGCCGCCAACGAACATGAAGCCGCCGAAGTCGTGGTTCCCTCGCCAGCCCCCGAGGTAGCAGGTGCCAGTCCCCGCCATCCCTCCACCCAGCTCCATCCTAGTTATACTCCTGCTCCTGCGCCCAAAGAATGCACTCTTCCTTTCGTGGCAATAGAGCGCGCAGCGCTCGGATTACATCCTCAAAGCAGTGGCATGGGCACAGGGACGGATGCGAACTCTCGCATCAGTCATTGCTGCGCTTGCGGCCCTTGGACTTGGAATGGAGATGGCGCAAATACGGCAGAACATCATACAGAGTAATGTTCCGTCGCAACAGCAGCCACTGGCCTAGAAAACATAGACCCTGCATCGCTACGTTCGAAAACTGATTTCCAGGCCATGCTCGAAAACGGAATCCCACCAGCCCTTTGGGCGTGAGTGGTTTAGCGAGCTCTCTCTGTCCTCAACCCCCCTTCTTCCCCTTCGGGGAGGGGTTTACCCCTCCCCCTACCCCCTCCCCCTGGACCTGGACAGGGAGTCCCGAGCGTCGCCAGGGGGGTCTTTTTCGACTCCTGGGAGGGCCAAAAAACGACGACCCTCACGAGGATTCTGGCCCCGAGGGGGGGTGGGGGAGTTTGGCGCCTCCGAGCGTCTTTGAATCAAAAAAACAATGATTTTACTACGGTGTTGGCCCCATTTTGGCCTTCTGAGGGGGGCGCGCTCCTCTTCCTTCATAGCAAAACCATTGATTGTACGAAGGTTTTGGCCTCATTTTGTCCTTCTCAGGGGCCAGCGCCCATCTGCGCTTCTGAGGAGGTCGCAAGAAGCCCCAAGATGGCCCCAAGAGGCTCCCAGGAGGCTCCCAAGAGGCCCCCAACAGGCCCCCAAGAGGCCCCCAAGAGGCCCCAAGAGGTTTCCAAGAGGGTCCCAAGAGGCCCCCAAGAGGCCCCAAGAGGCTCCAAGAGGCCCCCAAAAGGCTCCCAAGAGGCCTCCAAGAGGCCCCCAAGAGGCCCCCAAGAGGCTCCACGAGGCCCCCAAGAGGCCCCACGAGGAGCCCCAACGACTCACACCAGGACGAGAGACCCCGAACGACTCACACCACGAGGAGCCCGAACGACTCACACCAGGAGGAGGAGCCCGAACGACTCACACCAGGACGAGGGGCCCGAACGACTCACACCACGAGGAGCCCGAACGACTCACACCACGACACGGGCCCCGAACGACTCACACCACGAGGAGCCCGAACGAGTCACACCAGGAGGAGGGGCCCGAACGACTCACACCAGGATGAGGGGCCCGAACAACTCACACCACGAGAAGCCCGAACGACTCACACCAGGACGAAGAGCCCGAACGACTCACACCACGAAGAGCCCGAACGACTCACACCAGGAAGAAGGGCCCGAACGACTCACACCAGGACGAGAAACCCCAAACGACTCAAATCACGAGGAGCGCTTTCTCTCCCTCCTCCTCCGCCTCGTCCTTCTCCCGCTCCCCCCACAAGGAGGATGTACAAGGAGGCGGGAGGAAGGAGGAACAGGGGAGATATGCGGGGCCAAGCGGACATACGCCTGAAACACGCGACTGTCGGCATGCTTCGCAAGAGTTGCTGCTGTGAGATGGGCTGGTGGAGATACGCGAAGCGTAAAGAATTCATCAAGCCTCTTCCTCTCCCTCCCCGCAGTCACAACTTCGAACGCACATTGCATTGCACGTCTTCTGGGCAGGCCAAGTGTCAGAAGCCACGGGCGGTTGTCCCGCGGCGGTAGTAGTTCGTTCGTCCCTGCTCCTTCCCCTTCATCATTGCTCTCCTCCTTCTCGTCAAGCTATGAACTGACCCGCGCATGGCGCGGCCAGCACAGCATTCATTATTCGCGCCACATCAGTTCCCTCATCATCATCATCATCATCATCATCAGCAACAGCAGCAGCAGCAGCAGCAACATCACCATCAGCAGCAGCATCATCAGCATCATCAGCAGCATCATCGTCATCAGCGTCATCAGCATCATGACTATCACCATGTGCGTCATCTGCAGTATCGTCATCCACAAAAGCATGCTCAACCTCATCCTCAAGCCCCTCCTCATCATAATCACCATCAGCATCATCAGCATCATCATCACCATCCATCATCATCTGCGACAGCACCATCCGCATCAGCATCAGCAGCATCATCATCACCACAACAACCACCACATCGTCATGACATCGGCATCATCGTCATCGTCATCAGCATCAGCATCAAAATCAGCCTCAGCATCAGCATCACCATCAGCAGCGGCATCATCAGCATCCTTGTCGTCATCGCCATTATCAGAATCATCCTCATCATCACCATTACTGTTGTCATCATCATCCGCAGCAACATCGCCATCCTCACTATCATCACCTATATAAAAACATATCATCACCGCTGTGATGTTCATCCGCTGGGGTCATTACTGTAAGCATTAATTGTATGCCTGCGCTCACGCTAGAGCAACTACTCATAACCATGCTACTGCTCGTGTGCCTGCCACTGCCCCGACACAAGGGCCAAGACTCTCGATTCTAGATTCAGGAGACAGGGCGATTCCTGGACTCCCAGCGCCGATCCGATCACTCCAACTCGAACTCGTGAAACCGTCTGGCCAATGCACCCCTGTGCCTCACCTGTCACCTGCTCTGACTCGCTCGCCGTATCCAGTTCCTTCAGTCCAATGTGTGCTCTTCTCGTACAGTGCGGATGCGGCCGCCCCCGCAAGAAACCCAACCCAGACAATCCAAACACGAGGTGCAGCTGGGGGGAAACCCAGAGCACCCTGAGCGCAGCGGCTTCTGCAACGGCCTAAGGAAGACACCGCGCAGCGCGCGGAGCGAAGAAACCAGAGGCACTCTGAGGAAAATCATTCGGAGGAGGGCATTCCTCAAGACGGACCCGGCCGTGGCGACGACAAGCTTCCAAAGGCCCAGCAAAAGAAAGAAAAACGCCAGGGAAGGCCGCCGTTGTCTCGACCGGCCCTTCTGGACGCGGCCCCACCGTATCTCTTGCCCACAAGAAGGGCAATGCTGAGGGGACTGGCTCAGTGGAGCTGGAATCGGCGGTACATTGCCGTTAGATCGGCGATCTACCACCGATGGCGAAACCGTGCATTCCTGGGCGAGGCGAGGTCTGGACCCCCATCGACGAAGACTAAGCGATTGGGGGTCGATGCATCCTGCCTTTCTGGTTTTCGAATCATCTTTCGGCTCTCCAGCAGACGTTCAGGACGATCCGGGCACCACTCGAACGTCCTCGGCGAGGCGCAGCCGCTGGAAGGCAGCCGACGCAGAACAACTGCAGAGAACCGACGAAAACGCATGAAAATCTCAAACACCAAACCTCCCCCCTGAGCCTATCCTCCCTTGACGTTGCCCCTGACCTGCCCCGTCTCTCAGCCCGTCCTAGGACGCCCAGCCACTGCTTGCCGTCGATGCCGTCGCCCACGTAGACGTCCTCGAATACCTACGGCCCCGGCGAACGCAGGAAGCACGCGAGATGAGGTCCTTCGAGGTTGTGCTGCAGCCTCAGGCTCACGAGGGAGCCGTGCGAAGTCCAGTCATCGTGCTGCTATGAGGAAGGCTGAACAAGGAATTCCCCGACCTAGATATGAGGAACGTCCCGAAGACCAGAGCCCCTCCTGAGCACAACGTGGTCCCTAAGTCAGCGTCTCGGCTGTGCAGTGCGGTGAAAGAAACAACACGCGCTCGATGAGGAAGAGGGAGAAGATGAGGATAATCATGCGGGGGAAAGGAATATCATCAGCTGCAGCAGGGATCGGGTTGTTGGGAAGGGGGCGAAGAAACGGGTGCCGAGGAGTCGGAGTCGGAGGAGGACTAAGTTTTGGTCGGGCATGTCCCCAGACAGGCGGATCTTGGACGAATAATGAGACGTAGACAACAAATGCTCCAGAATAGTCAGACAAATCATCGAAAATCGCTATTCCCCCTGAAGAGGGACACGCCCGACTTAAGACTAAATCAGCCTGGCGAAGGGCCAACATTAAACGATCGAACATAGCGCAGTGCATCTGGGATGGCAGGAACGCCTTCCGCCGCGTGGACAGGCGTTGCTGCTTTGGGCGTCCTGCTTCGCGCTGGCGGCAGATTTTCAGATTTCGCAGGCCTGTTGCGCGCCGCATCGCGTAGCTCCTCAAGGAGCCCGGCTCTAGGGGGCTCCGCGCCAGGCGTCGGCGACAGCACCTGCCACCCGTGTTGTGTGTAAAAGCGTCGCCATATCCTCGCATACTGCCCGCGGGAGGCATGAATTCCCGGAGTGTGCGAATGGTGGCCTGCAGAGCTGGCGGGCAGAGGCATGCCGACCTCCCGACGCATGGAGCGCGATCTGTGTGAGCAGTACGTCGGTTTGTGCGGACGAGGACCTGCACCGGGGCCGTGGGGCGGAACTCCGTGCGATCCGTGCGGAAGAGTATGCCGAAATGCGGGGGAGGGGGGCACCCGGTCGCCAGCTTTGCGACGACGACAACGATGAAAACGCCCTCCACGTCGTCGACGACGTCGACGTCACCGTCGTCCCTCTCAATATCGATGTCGTCGTGGTCGTCGTCGACCCCTGGCGCCTTCTGCCACTGCTGGGTCGAGTCATCAACGGTGCTGACGTGGCCTCCGCACTTGACGTTGATGCCGCCCCTGTGCCCGCTGGATCGGGAGAGACAAAGGGAGAAAGGAAGCCTGGGATACAGACGCCTTCTCGACAGAGATCTTGCCAAATTCTGGGACTGCTGTTCGCCTCTCCTCTGTGTCTGTGCGCTCTCTCCCAATCTCCCTCTGACCCCCTCTCGTCCCTCTACAACTACTCAATATGAATACTACTCTCCCTCTTCCCCTGATGGCGTGCTGAGAATATTCGACCCCCCCGCGTACTGTTTTTTACACACAGGATTCCCAGGAGTTGGGTTTTCGCCTGCGTGTTTTTTCAAAATGCTGCTCTCGCTGAGGCGCCGGCCTCATTTCTGCTCCCGAATCGTTCCGAATCGTGCTCCCGCTGCAGCGTGGGCCTCATTTTCGGATCGGTGTTTTTGCCTCCGTCGTTCAGGATGGCGTTCTCGCCCCAGCGCGGGCCTCTTTCTCGCGCGCCCATCCGCCCGCCACCACCGCGCCGCACCACGCCCCGCCCCGCCGCACGCACACCCACCGCCACTTCCACCCACCAACGCACGCACGCACGCACGCGCACCACCACCGCGCACCGCCACCACCACCGCACTACCCCACCCACCACCACCACGCTACACCGCGTCACACCACACCACACGCGCGCACACACAGACACACGCACGCACGCACGCACACACACACATACACACGCGCACACACACACACGCACACACACAGACACACACACACACACACACCACCACCGCCACCACCACCACCGCCATCACGCACGTACGCACCTGGCCCACCACCAAACCACCAAGACGCCACACCACGTCACACCACAGCACACGCGCACACACGCACACACACACACACACACATACACACCACCACCACAAACAACCACAACCACGCACACACGCACGCACGCACGCACTCTCACCACCACCCACTACGCACACGCGCGCGGAGCCACAGGTCCGCTACGACACGCGTCCGCGGATAGAGAAAATCAGCGCCATGGTAAGGGATGGGAGGGAGGGGTAGGATGTCAGATGTTGACGCGAGCGCACCTAACTTGTCCCTACCCCTCCCTCTCTCCCCGTGTCTCTGCCGGTCTCCACCTCTCCCCCACCGCATCCCTCCTCTCCCTCTCCCTCTCACTCGCTGTTTCCCACAGCTACCCCCGCCCTTCCTCCCCCCCTATCCCGCCCAGCAGCACCCCCGCCCCCCCCCCCTCGCGTTCCCTCCCTCCGCAGCCGGGCCGTCCCCCCCCCTCCCAGGCCGAGGCCACAAACGGCGAAGAAACCAAGACCCCCTAAAACCAGACGAGGCCGAGACCAAATCAAGGGAGAAACCGCCTCCGATAACCTTTCGGGGGGTGGGAGGGGGGGTGCGACCCCTGGGGGGTGGCACGCGCGAGCGCCGCCCAATACTGGACGACGCTCAGGCGTGCCACCGCCTAGGGGTGGCTCCCCACCGAGGGCATCTCGGTGGCGGTTATCTCTGTTTATCCTCTGACAAGTGAAGCCGGGACCGAATACAGGAGAATTAAGAAACGGCATGTACACGAATTTTCGGATGTCCGCGCAGATTTCAAGGATCGGCGCTGGCATCAGCCCCCCGCCGGGGCCTCCAGCGCTGCCCATGGTGCGCTCCGTGCTCCCTGGCGAACTCCGAAAACGTGTGTTTCATAATGCCGCTCATTCTTCTCCGGCTGCTTCCCCTGTGACAAGTGAGGCCGAAAAGGCCGCGAGGCGAGCGAGGGCAGCGGACGGCGCGACACGGCCGAGACGAGCTGAGACCGAGCGCACCGGGCGGAGCGCGACAGCCGGCCGAGCTGGCCGAGGTGTGGACAGCCTCCTCGGTGGTCCTCGCAGTCTGGCTCTCGGGTCATACATGGACGGTCTCAAAGGTGGTGGCGGGGGGGAAACAGCGAGCCGAACTCGCAGATGGATCGGCGATTGGCCCCCGACAAGGAGTCCGTATGGTCCTGGGCGGGATGGGGCAATCGGGCCCTACTGGTCCTCGTCGTGAATGGCAACGTCGCCTGCCGTCGTCACGAGCCCCCTCTGCATGCCGACGCTCATGGGCGAAGGCTCGCAGAGGCCGACGAGCGTCTGCCACGTAGAACGTGTTGCGCTGCTGCAAGCCCGAACCAATATCGCTATGTCCAAGTGTATCCGCCGATGGCATAGGCATACACGCTGGGAGGTCCGCGTGGAGTTCCCAGATGTCCGACAATGTATTTTCTCGGTCTGAGGGGCAACGTTAGGGGGGGTCAGGCTCAGGGAGTAAACATCGATCTGAGATCGGCGATGCATCACCAACAGATCAGCGATAGACCCCCGATAGCGAATTCCTACGGTCCTGAGATGGGTGGGGATATTGGGCCTCCTATCAGGGATCAATGCTCGATTGAGGATCGATGCATCCCTCCCCGAGGCACCCCCCCCAACCAACATTGCCCCTGAACACCTCGGCGAGGCCTAAGCTGGATCGAATCTCGGAACCAGATCGGATCGGACAACATACGCATCGTCTTGGATCGAGCCGAACTCGGATCGCCGCACTCGGCTCTGGCTGGCCCCAGCCCGTGCACGGTGAATCGAACCGAACAGACTCAAATCGGAACCGCTGCCCGAGCCGGAGAATCGAACCGCGCCGAATCGGATCTCGGGGGGCCCTGTCGGGCCTCTGGCGGGCCATTCAGGACGATCCGCGCGCACACCTGGAGCGCTCTTGTCGAGGCGCAGATGATGGAACGCATCCCGAATCAGGAAAACCCCCAGGGAACGACGAACTCGCCCGAAAACAAAGGGCCCCGCCGTCGCCATCTTCATCAGGACGACAGCGCTCGGCGAGCGCTCTCGGCGAGGCAACGCTGCTGGACGGCATCTGGAGGCCGACGAGAACTGCCGAGAGACGACGTAGCGGCGGGGTACCGCCGGACAGCACCGAGAACAGTGGCCGCTCGGGCCAAAGCGGTCTGGGGGCGTGGGGGGGCGAGGAGGAGAGGGCGGAGCAGGAGGCGGAGGAGGAGGAGGAGGTGGTGTTGATGGTGGAGGTCTTCATCGGCCCAAGACAGACGGCCGTAGGATAGGATTTGGGCTTGCCCCTTCACTCGCAAGCCTCGTCGCCCAGGACTGTAGAGGCGCCTCTCACGGTGCTGAGGAGAACGACGACAAGTGGACGACGGGAGGAGGGCTGACGAGAGACGCCCGAGAGCGCCCGGCAATTCCCCCCGATCCAGTAAAAATTGTCGCCCACATTCAGGATGTAGTCGGGGGGGTTCTTCGCAGCCATCTTCGCCATCTGCCTTCGCCACCGCAGGCGGCCGTGCCGCGCCGATGCGCGAGAGGAGAAGGCGGGGCGGCGGGAGCACGGGGGCGGCGAAGACGAGGGCGAAGAAGAGGACGAGGATACAACACAATAGACCACGACGGCGAAGACGAGGGTAGGATGAGGAGAAGGGCGGCAGATCACGTCGGCAAAGGCGGGGACGATGGCGAGCGCGAGAGCCAAGGAGAGGGCAAGGGAAGCTGCAACAAAAACTATGCGCGCGCATTCGTTTATCAAAAATCAAAAGTGTCCACAAACCACTTGCAAAACAATGAGACGAAGAGCACACGCGCGCGTCGTCGCGCGCGCATGCCGAAATTCTTCAAAAACCGTAGGCCGAGGGCGCCGCCAGGGCGGGGGGGGGCGCCGACCCAGGGGGTCCGCGCGGCCTTTCTAAAGCTCGCGTTCCCGCGTGTTGTTTCGTCTTCCGAGGAGGAAGTAGGGGAGGGACAGAGCGAGGAGGAAAGCAAATGCCAGCACAACGTGGAGGAGAAGGAGGAGCAGGAGGAAGAGAAGAACAGAGACCCTCTGTTCGACTGCACTGATTCACTCTGGCGGAATGACCCCACATGAGAATCTCCCAAACGAATACGGAAGCAATACTCATTGTCAGCCTTGTGATGTAAATGCCCAGGCTTTCTTCCTGTTCTGTCATCGCCCTTCTCTTTTTCGCCGTAGCGAAAGGTCTCCTCTCGCCCCCTGCTCTGCCTCCTCGCCCTCTTGGCCCCGCTCCCCCATCGACCTCCTCCGCCCGCCTCTATCGCAAATGCGCACAAACCAATGTTCGGAACATGTCGGAACATGTCGGAATACGACGGCCACCGCTCATCACGGCACCGACAAGATGCTCGACGCAGAGAACCCCATATGTACATCTCATGTCGTGCCACTTCCCGCTGTGAGTGTCCGAGTGACAGAATCTGGGACCGTGGCGACTGAGGTTTCCCAAACGGCTCGCCACGCTATGCCTGCTACGCGTCTCGCCTAAAACGCCACCACGAGATGGGCGCGAACGGGCAAAATTCGCATCCCTAGGTTAACGGACTATTGTGGTGGTGGAAATTTAATCCACATAAAATTTCTGGCAAATTGAGGGTCCCACGTCATTTTCACGGCCCCATGGTATCCGTAGCCGCTTTGGCTCCAGTTGCGCGCTTCCAGCGCACGCCATGGCGCGGGCGGATCCCAGCTGTGGACCGACGACCGACGATCGAGATGACGACGACCGACGACGACGACCGACCGACCGACCGACCGAAACGACGACGACCGACAACAACCGACCGACCGACCGACCGACAGAGCCGCTGGCTGATGACGACCGAAGGACCGACCGACCGACGGATCGAGACGACGACGACAGCCGACGACGACCGACGGGCCGAATGACCAACAGACGAACGCGCGCTCTGAACCAGTTTGGCAAAGAGGCATGGAGAAAATGCTAGGACCCCCGCCAGCCCCTGGCCCGCTCAAGTCTACGAGAGAAGATGTTCCTGCCGCCCACGGTGCCGATTGCAGCCGTGATTTTTCGCCCAGCGCGAATGCTCCAGCCGCCCAGTGGGAGCGCTCCAACCGCCCGCGGCGTGTGCTCCAGCCGTGCAATTTTGTTAACCAGCGCGAGCGTTCCAGCCGAATGCGGCGCGGGCTCCAGCCACGCACGTCTACTCAGCAGGAGCGTTCCAGCCGCCCACGGCGCGGGCTCCAGCCACGATTCGTTTCCCGGCTCGAGCGGCTCCAGCCGCACATGACGCAAATTACAACCGTGCGATGCTACCTAACGCGAGCGCTCCAGCCGCCCACGGCAAATTCTCACTAACAAATTAGTCCACTGATTGCCCAGTCAATAGACGATTGTTGGCAATGGACCTATGAGCCGCTTATCGTATTGGGCAAAATGTGCATCTAACGTCATGCTGTCAACCTCGTTGCATCCCCAGCCGTTTTGGTTCCAGTGGCGCGCTTTCGGAGCACACCATGGCGCGAGCGGATTCCCGCCGTGGACCGACGACCCACGACAGAAATGACGCCCAACGACGACGACGACCGACCGACCAACCGACGACCGACGACCGGACCGAACGACCAGCCGACCGGCCGACCGACCAAAACGACGACGGTCGACGACGACCGACCGATCGACTGACCGACCGACCGACCGAGACGACGGCTGATGACGACCGACCGACCGACCGACGGGCCGAGACGACGACGACGACCGACGACGACGACCGACGGACCGACTGACCGACAGACGAGCGCGCGGACGGACCCAGTTTGGGAGCGAGGCGCGGGGACAACGTTAGGACTTCCGCTCCTGGCCCGCCCCGTCCCGTCCCTCCTGATTCATACTTTCGGAGCCCTAAACCAGGAAAAATGATTTTTTGCCCGCGAATGCAACGCGGGAACATGCTCCAGCCGCCTATGCCGACAAGAAGCAGCCCTCAACTTCTACAAGAGAAGATGCTCCAGCCGCCCAAGCGTCAATTTTCCATCCTGGGAAGATTAACATTCCCCCTCTGAATTAACGACACCCCTTTCCGTATTGAGTTTTACATACGATCCCACCCCATCGTCCATCCGAACCACGGGTTCGTACCATACCAAGCCAAGATCCCCCCCCTTCATTCGATGCGCAAAAACTATGCGCGCACTCGTTTATCACAAATCAGAGGTTTCCAAAAATCCCTTGCAATTGATATATATATATATGTATCGCAGACGCGCGCGTCGACACGCGTGTGCGCCAAAACCATTCAACACGCAATACGGGTCCCGCAAGAATGTCATAACCGAACGTCCCGTGTATGTATACAATAACGAACAAGAATGCCCCGCAGCAACAGATCTCAAAAATGATCGCCCGCGTCCATGCCAATGCTCCAAGCAACCATAACATGTTTCCAAAAGTGTCGTACATATTACCAAACGGGCCGTTCGCGCGCGCATGTCGAAATCGTTCGAACGCCGTTGCGCGCGTGCTTGAACCATGCAAACTACGTGCACGCGTCCGCGCGTCGTCGCGCGCGCACGCTGGAATATGTCAAAAACCTTGTGTGGTCGCCGACACGTCAAAATAAAGCGTCCTGGAAACACCCAACAAATCAATTCTGAAAAACACATAGCGCGTTTCCAACCTGTTCGTTAAAGTCTGCCAAACGGGCCTTTTTCGCGCCGCAGCTCGAAATCAGTCGAACGCCATGGCGCGCGAGTTGACGGGCTCGAACCGTACCAAATAACGCCACGCGGGCAACTCGCGCATGTCGGCCGCGCGCGCAAGCCGAACTTCTTCCACAACCTGCACCACCGATGCGAGGACATCGTCATCGGTACCAGCGGGCGTGATCAACATCGGCGCTGTCATTGGCTTTACCGTCGTCATCGCCACCATCGTCACCTCATCGCTACTCTCATCCTCGTGTCTATAGTTGCCAGCATCGCCATGGTACCGCGCCCGCCCATGTCACCGACTCGCACTGAAGCGCCCGCTGGGAAGTGCCCAGCGGTCAGCGCTACCGCGGCCGCGTCGGTCGCGCCGCACTGCGCGCGCGCAAGCACTGCGCGGGCTAAGGCGGACTCGCCGCAATCGCCGCCGCATGGGTGTTGCAAACCAAGTTGCGGGTGGTCGGGTGGGATGATTGCGCGAGCAATTCAGTTTGGAACCTATTGCGAAAATAAATGGGTTCCACACATTACTTGTTACCCAGCTCGAGTGTTCCAGCCGCCCACGGCGGGGGCTCCAGCACAGCGAAAGCGTTCCAGTCGACTACGGCGTGGGCACCAGCCATGCGTTTATACCCAGAGAGAGCCTTCCAGCCGCACGCGGCGCGGGATCCAGCCGCGCACCTTCGCGGAGCGGGAGCATTCCAGCCAACCGCGGCGCGGGATCCAGCCATGAATGCTTATCAAGCGCGAGCGTTCCAGCCGCACACGGCGGGGGCTCCAGCCGTAGATTTTACCCATCGCGAGCAATCCCACCCGCGCGGCGCGGGTTACAGCCATGCGCTTTTACCGAGCGCCAGCATTGCAGCCGCCCACGGCAAGTTCTCACTAGCAAATTAGTCGGCTCAGTGGCCTTTCAGTGGACTACTGTTGGTCCTGAACTTTCAATGGACTGACAAGATCCGCAGATCATTTCGAGCAAGTTGGGCGTCCAACGTTTTGCTCTCAACTAGGCTCAACCTCGTTGCATCCGTAGCCATTTGGGCTCCAGAGGCGCGCTTTCAGAGAGCGCCATGGCGCGGGTGGATTCTGTCTGTGGACCGACGACCGTCGACCGAGATGACGACGACCGGCGACGACGACCGACCTCGGCGACACGTAAGAGTGACCGAGAATGCCCTTTGGTGCGCGGCCTTAGGGGGGCCCGCGGGGGCCTGGCGCAACCGCGCAAGCCGAGGCCGTCGGATTGCATCAGCGATCGGCGGGGCTCGCTTCGACAGATCCCTACCGCCAGCAGGCAATTGCGGACCTCCGCCAATTCGTTCTGGGCGCCCACGAACACCCGCCCGAGGGCTCTGCGAAGCCAAACGTAATCGGGCGCCACCGCGGAATGTTCTGGCACTGCCGGGCCGCATCGCGATGACGTCTGACCGGGTCCAGCGTCAAGGCCGAAACCGGGCCGAGACTTGGCCCCCCCGCGGCCGCAAATAACTTTCAATAGTCAAGAATTGACTTGTAAAGCGCGGAGTGCGAAAAGCTCTTCAAAGTTAGTCAAAATTAGTCAAAGTTATTCCAGGACGATTTGGGACCGGCCCCAAAGCGGAGAGCACGTCGCCCACTCGACTGGGCCCCCCCTCGCCAAACGAAGCACGCGGCTGAATACACCGTGCATGCGTTGCGATCGATTGCGAGGGGCGTACCCTGAATCAAGCGCGCTCTGATGCGATCGCAGACTGGTGCAGCGTGCGCCGACACGAGGCCGAGCGCACTCCTCAAGAAAATCTGTCCGATCCCATTAGGGCCAACACTAAAGGTCAATCTGGCCAAGGGACACTCTCACGTGTAGCCGACGACCGACCGACCGACGACCGACGACCGGACCGAACGACCGACCGACCGACCGAAAGAACGACGACCGACAACGACCGACGACGACCGACCGATCGACCGACCGTCCGAAAGGACGACGACCGACGACGACCGACTGGTCGACCGAGACGACGGGGTCCTGGTGGCGCCACTGCCTGCGCGCCTCGTCGTGAATTTGGTGCCCAATGCACCCCATTGGGTAGTGCCTCGCAAATGGCGCCCGGGACTGCACTTGTTCGCCGGTTTCACAAGCGCGGCGGCCACCGAAGGTCTCCATGACGCGCTTTCAAAAGCCGGCGTCAGGGTCGCGAGGGTTTACACCACGCATGCCATGCGCCGTGGTTGCGCATGGGACATGTGAGTCGGCGGCTCTACCATAGTCGAAATTAAGCGCGCTGGGGGTTGAAGCTGGCGGCTTTCCTGCGCCGTTAACCTGGAGGGCATCGCCGCCTGGGAGGCGCATGGCGCCCTGGCTCCACACCTCGAGGGAGGCACGGGCCAGCGCCCGCTTGAGCGCTTGTGCCATCGTCATCCGCTGTCGCGCCCGCGCGCGCAATCAAAGGGCCGCGCGGGATTGCCCTCGCCCGCTCGCGCTCGTGTGCGCGTCTGCGTCGCGTGTGCCGCCGTCCTGGGCGGGGCGGGGCGTGCCCTTCGTAGGGCAACGGTCCGAGGCATGCTGGCCAACCCGCGCGCGGTCAGCGCGGTGCCGCACCCCATGTCGGGTGTGGTCTCGCCACGCCGACCTGTTAGTTTATCGGGGCCGCGCTTTGTGAGATGGCTTCCTGGCCTGGCCGGGAGCCCATGGGCGCACGCCGAGATCTGGCCCAAAACGGTACCTCTTCCCATCTCTCTCTCCCTCTCCCTGTGTCTCTCGCTCTCTCTCTCTCTCTCTCTCGTTATCGCCCTCTTGCAATCGCCCTCGTCTCGAGGGCAGGTAAAGCCGTGGCGACAAGGGCGCCCCCGGAGCCCTGCACAAACAAAACAGAAAGGCACCAACCTGCTGGAGATGCTGTTTTCCCGCTGATGATTCCCCACGTCTCTTTCCGCCCGGTCGGAGAAGCACACGCGTAAAGGCCGATGCCAGACAGCGACGGCGTCTACGGCGAAGAGAACGAACGGCGACGAACGAGCCAGGGTGGGTGCGAGGAGGACGGGATCAATCAGCATCGAACACCTAGCATCGAGTCGGCAAATCGGACAGAATCGGTATGTGCGTCAGATCGGGATTCATGGGCATGGAGCCAAAATTGAATCGGATCGGCTGCCGCAAGATGCACAAGGCCATGAGATCATCGGCCCGCATCGGAGCGTCGGAACGTCAAAATAGATCGAGCCGGCCGGAATTGACATCGAATCAGATCCATGGGATCGGAATGGACACAACCAAAGTCTGGCGGTCTGGCTTTCGGGTCACATGTTACTCGGGTCTCTGGAGGCGGTTCGCGATACGGAACGACCTCGCCGAGGCACAGCTGCCAGAACGCATCCCGAGGCAAGGAAACCTCCCGTAACCCACGAAGCGATGCACCCAGGGAACGCTCTCAGCGAGGCGTAGCTTCCGAAACGCATCGCGACGCAGGAATGACCTCCATAAACGGACGAAGACGACAAAAACATCGTCATCATCGTGCTCAAGGCCACCGTCTGGGGACGCCAAAGACACCGATACCGCTACTCCCCGGATCTCTCCCAGGATGCGTTCTGACCAGATTTTCGATGCGGATAATTCAGCCGTGCCGGAGAGAGCCTCCCACGAAGCCCTAAAAGGCGAAAGCGAAGGGAGGGTCGTGGTATCGGTACATCTCCCCCCTCTGATCGAGGTCGTCATCGTCCTCAGGACGACGACGCACGGCGGCGGCAGCCACGGGGTCGGAGAAGCAACGGCCACCAGCGGCGCGGGCGCGGCGGCGGCCGCCCCCGGGCGGAGGGGCTCGGCGATGTTGCGCTGGGCGCAGTCGTCCGCGCCCCAGATGAAGTTGCGCTGGTGGGAAGGGAACTCGGGCGACCTGCAGCCGCTGGGGCAGTCGGGGCGGTCGTCCGTCCACCCGTCCGACAGTTCGTGCGTGCGTCCGTCCTTTGCCGGCGTCGTCGTCGTCGCCGCCGCCGCCGCCGCCATGGACCGATGCTCGCGGCATGATTCAAAACATGCATGTCACTGCCTGGGCCTCTGGGGGCCTCTGCAAACCCTCTGGGGACCTCTGTTGACACCCCCGCCCTCAAGGCGGGAGGGGGGGGAGAGGGCTGGGGTCGCAACGGCAGGAAGAGGAACTGCGGGGGGCGGGGTGGGGGAGGCGGAGGGGTGGGGAGAGGGAAGGAGAGCGTGAGTTTTAGGAGGAAAAATGGAAGGGCCATGGCAAGGGGCAAAAGGGAAGGGCACAGGGGGCAAGGGCAATGGGTAGGGGCAAGGATGATGTCCCTGGATCAGTGGGTACAAGTACGGTCGGCCGACTCTGCAACTGGCGCGCTTCTGCTAGTCAGCACAATCCCCACGAGGCCCGACCGACCACACAGAAACTACAACGGCTAAGAAGGCCAGACACAAATGATGATGGGGAAAGAATGAGGAGAGAAGAACGAACCAACTAACGAACCCCACGGTGCGTATGTGGATTTGGTGTCCCGTCGTGCGATAGGATCGGCCCGTGCAACCGATGACTACGGGACAAACCCGCCCCGCAAGAGGCATCCGCAGTGAGCGGGGACGTGTGCGGGAGGGCAATAACAGGGGTCAGCATGGGATCTAGTCATTGCATTCGGGATTGGGGGGGGCCCAGGCCGAGGGCATTCATGTGACACTCTGGAGAATCGCTGGGAATCTCCCCCGATGGAGCGTTAGGGCCAGCGGCAGCTTTGAGAAGACGTAGCGCCACTAGTTTGCGTAAGCGCTGGACGTCCAAATCTGCCGACACCTTGTGGGTCTCTAGGCGTGTGAGATTATGCCCCCCCATAATCCCCCCCCAGGACCCCAAACCGGCAATTTGACCCCCCCTGGCCGAGCCCGACCCCAGGGGGGAGCAGAGGGCTCCAAAACTGGCCAAGAAGGCACCAAAACGCTCCCCAGACGGTCCCAGGGGGCCACGATTCGCCGAAATATCGCCCCTGGAGGCGGACGCCCATGATGGCCTCCAGGCGGCCTCCGAAGCTGCCAAGACGCCCCAAAAGGACCCCACAAGATGCGCCCCAAGAGGGTCCCAAGAAACAAAAGTCGTCCCATCCCCTTCGAACAATTACCCCGGCAAAGCAATATAAGAGCGATGTGTATGAGCATGTCTGGAAGCATTCCCCTTAAGATTCAGGGGAGAATCCAGTTGTAGAATTCTGCTGTTCTCGCAGTCGCAGTCGCATTCGCAATGACCGTCGCAGTGGCAACGGCCTTAGGATCCAATGGAATCGTAAGGATTCGTAAGGATTTCTAAGGCATCCTTAGGCATCCTTGGGAATGCATAGGAATCCTTAGGAAACCTTAGGAATCCTCAGGAAACCTGATTCCTAGGATTCCTAGGAATTCCTAAGGATTCCTAGGGAATCCGACGGATTCCTAAGGATTCGCCTGCCTCGGCCTCAGCCTCAGCCTGCCTCAGCCTCAGCCTGCCTCAGCATCAGCCTGCCTCAGCCTCAGCCTCAGCCTGTCTCAGCCTCAGCCTGCCTCGGCTTCCTTCGGCCTCAGCCTCAGCCTGCCTCAGCCGCAGCTTGCCTCAGCCTCAGCCACAGCCTCAGCCTCAGCCTCAGCCTGCCTCAGCTTCAGCCTCAGCCTCAGCCTGCCTCAGCCTCAGCCTCAGCCTCAGCCTCAGCCTGCCTCGGCCTCAGCCTCAGCCTCAGCCTGAGCGTCAGAATCTCAGCCTCAGCCAGCCTCAGCCTCAGCCTCAGCCTCAGCCTGCCTCAGCCTCAGCCTCAGCCTGCCTCAGCCTCAGCCTGCATCAGCCTCAGCCTCAGCCTACCTCAGCCGCAGCTTGCCTCAGCCTCAGCCACTGCCTCAGCCTCAGCCTCAGCCTGCCTCAGCCTCAGCCTCAGCTTCAGCCTGCCTCGGCCTCAGCCTCAGCCTCAGCCTGCCTCAGCCTCAGCGTCAGCCTCTCAGCCTCAGCCGCCGGCATCAGCCTCAGCCTCAGCCTCAGCCAGCCTCAGCCTCAGTCTCAGCCTGCCTCAGCCTCAGCCTGCCTCAGCCTCCTGAGCCTGCCTCGGCCTCAGCCTCAGCCTGCCTCAGCCGCAGCCTGCCTCAGCCTCGGCCTCAGCCTGTCTCAGCCTCAGCCTGCTTCAGCATCAGCCTCAGCCTCAGCCTCAGCCTGCCTCGGCCTCGGCCTCAGCCTCAGCCTGCCTCAGCCTCAGCCTCAGCCTCAGCCTCAGCCTCAGCCTGCCTCAGCCTCAGCCTCAGCCTGCCTCAGCCTCCTCAGCCCTCAGCCTCAGCCTCAGCCTCAGCCTCAGCCTCAGCCTCAGCCTCAGCCTCAGCCTGCTCAGCCTCAGCCTCAGCCTCAGCCTCAGCCTCAGCCTCAGCCTCAGCCTCAGCCTCTCGCCTCAGTCTCAGCCAGCCTCAGACTCAGCCTGCCTCAGCCTCAGCCTCAGCCTGCCTCGGCCTCAGCCTGCGTCAGCCTCAGCCTCAGCCTGCCTCAGCCTCAGCCTGCCTCAGCCTCAGCCTCAGCCTGCCTCGGCGTGCCTCAGCCTCAGCCTCAGCCTGCCTCGGCCTCGGCCTGCCTCGGCTTCAGCCTGCCTCAGCTCGGGCATTCAAAATATGGCACAGGACTCGTGTTCTGGGAACACGAAGATCACGAAGTGGCCCGCAGTTGGCTCCGGGGAATCAAAATATGGTACAGGAGTGGTGTTCTGGGAACACGAAGAACAAGAAGTGGCCTACAGTTGGCTCCGGGCATTCAAAATGTGGCCTGGGAATGGTGTTCTGGGAACACGAAGAACACGAAATGGCCTGCAATTGGCTCCGGGCATTCAAATTGTGGCCTGGGAGTGGTGTTCTGGGAAAACGAAGGACACGAAGTGGCCTACAGTTGGTTCCGGGCATTCAAATTGTGGCTTGGGAATGGTGTTCTGGGAACACGAAGAAATTCCTAAGAATTCCTAAGGATTCCTAAGGATTCCTGGGGCTGACCCTCTTGTCCGGTTTTGTCTGGATCCCGCCCAGACCCCCTTGGAGAGTCAAGATGCTTTCTCTCTTTCGACCCCCAGAAACCTATCAGTCTTCGCTGTTAGGTAACAAGCATTTGTCGCATGCTCGCCTATTCGGTTTTCACAACTTCCCAGACGGGCAAAGAAACCTTCAATATCGCCCCCAGACGGCCAAAGGAGCCCCCAAGAAGGGTCGAAGAGGGTCCAACAACAGCCCACGAAGCCCCCAAGACTTTCCAAGAGGGCCCCCAGACGGCTCCAAGACGGAGTCCAGAGGGGACCTTTTCGAGCCTTCGGCCCCAAGACGCCCCCAGCTTGCCCCAAGAACACCCGAAGAGGCCCTGAGGGAACCCCAGGCACAAAAGCCTCCAAGCAGACCCCAGGAAGCCCCCAAGAGGCCCAAAAACTTGGCCCAAGATGCCTCGAGGCGGCCGGATATGGCCTGCAAACAGGCAAACATGCCACCAAAAGGCCACAAAGAAGCACCAAGACGTACGACAATAGCAACGGAGCAACAAGAACGGTGTCGAGCGCCGTGTCATGATGCAGACAAGCCTCGTGAAATGCAGTCCTGGAGGCGCAATACTGTATATAGGGGTCGGCGGATGTGGCGTAAACCTATCGAATCGTTTACGCTCCCGTCCGCCTCGTGTGCACTCGAGGCGATATCGGCAAAACTGCTGGGCCCCGCTGACACGGTCAACCTGGACCCCGAGCGCTGCATGCCATCGGGCCCCAGGGCCCCCATGGCAGCATCCGAAATCGCAGGCCGCCCGGCAGCTGGCGACGGCTTCCTGGCAAGTCTGCTGGGCCCCGCCGACGCGATCAATCTGGGCCCCGAGTGCTGTATGCCATCGGGCCCGACGGCCCCCACATCAGCACCAATCATAGCAGGCCGCCATACCGCGGTCCACAGCACCGCGGCAGGCGACGAGGGAGGGCCCTGCTCTAGATCTCCTCGAAGGCCGCGATTTCGTCCTGACTTGATATCGACTCACAGCTGCCCGTGGCACCTCGAGATCAGCCCCGGACCCGATGACTTTCCCGATGAATTGCGCGCGCGCGCCCGTAGATCGACACCGCCGTCAGGAGGGGGAACATGGCCTCGGACACCTCCAGGGGTAGATCTTGGTCGATCGATCGGTCGGTCGGTCGGGTCGTCGGCCGTCGGTCGGTCGGTCGTCGCCGTCGTGCGTCGTCGTCGCGTCGGCCGCCAGTCGTCGGTCTACAGCCGGAATCCGCCCACGCCATGACGCGTTCTGAAAGCGCGCCACTGGAGCCAAAGTTGGTACGGATGTAATGAGGTTGAACACAAGACGTTGGACCCACAAATTGCGCGACATGAGCTGCTGCTCGAAATCTGACTACCAAGGATAGTCCACTGACTGTAAGAACCACTGCCGAAGTATGTCGGGCTCGGCGCAGAAGGGGAATCCAAAAAGGGCGAGCCCCCTGACGAGGTCGACCCCCCACACCCATGGGCCGTACTAGGAAGGGGGTGCATTGAGAGCTTCGCGGCCAGGAACTCCGAAGAGCCATCTGGCAACTGCAAAAGGCGGATGCCGCCCCCACCCGCACGTGGCGACGGGAGGTGTGCTCACCACCCAAAATCCAAACCAATTGCCCCTACGGCCCTCGGAACGGACCCCCGAGCAATCCGACACAAGAGCACACATGCCCCAAGAAGCCCCTGGATGGCCGACGGAGCCAAGGCTCGTGCGAAACACGATAAGCCCTTAGAGAGCACCGTCGGGGCCGCCAACGGAAGCCTGAAAACAAACGTGGTCGCGCGCCCTCCATCGCCTCAAGAGAGCCCAGGCTTCCTTTTTCGCGCCCCGCCGTCCTGGATACGGGCACCATTGCGGCCTTGGCCGTGAGGCGCGAAGCGCGAGTGACGATCTGTGTGCCCCTGCGGGTGACGGCAGGTTCGTGTCGTGACGACCCTCGCGCTGTATTTTTGACACCGCCTGGATCGTTAGACCTTGAACGATCGGGGCTGTTTTGACAGCCTGATCGTTTCACATTGACCGAGTCTGGCCCACTGGCGGCGTTCAACAGTAAACGCCCGCCACAGGATTGCTGCCGCGACAAACCTACCGTAGGTCGTCGGTGCCTCGGACACTCCGTGGCGTCCAGCTGCATCGCCCGCGACGCTCTCTGGACGCAGGCAGCACGCAAGGAGCAGCTCGCGCGCGGCTGCGCGCGAAACGCAATGGCTTGCAGGAAAGCGAACCATACCGAGGGCTGCAGGAGGCGCAAATCGGCGCCCAGCCAGGTGCGAGCCACAACCTTCACAGAAAAAACCGGGCGGATCCTGGCACTTCCAAATCGGGCCAGCACAAACAAATGATCTCTGAAATCTAGCGGCTCTGGAGGACGTATCGGGGACGGCGGCCGTCAGAGAGAGCTCTGGAACGCTCTGAGAGCAATCTCGAACGCCTCTGGAACAATCTATCCAGGTCCTTAACCAGCCCGACTTCCGCAACAAACAACGGCACTGAATCCTCGTCCACAGAGCAGCGTGGGATTCGGGCACCGCTGCCCTCAAGAAAGTATGAACTTCTGAAGCTCCCCAGAGACCTCTGGAGGTCCCCGCCGCGCACAGAAGAACCACACTCAGAATTCGCCGGCCCAACGGGCCAGGGCGTGCTAAGATCTCCGGTAACTGGTTAACAGTATTAACAGCATTTCTAGTTCGCGCGCGCGGGGCGGCCCCTGGGGGTCCCCCGGCGAAAAGTACCCCGACCAACGCCCGGTCGCCGCCCGACCGCCGCCCGACCAAGTCTACTCAGAGATGGTTTTCCTTCTGGGTGCGGCCTCTCAGGCTCCCCAGAGCGCGCTCAGAGTGCCCCAAGAGGCCCCCAAGACTGCCCAAGAGGCCCCCGAGACGCCCAAAGAGCGCTCGAAGACGCCGAAGATGACCCCAAGACGGCCCAAAAGGCCCCCAAGACAGCCCAAGAGGCCTCCAAGACGCCCCAAGAGCCTTCCAAGAGGCCTCCGAAGAGAGCCCCAAGAGGCCAAAATCGTTGATTTTCATTGTTTTTTTCGATGTTTTTTGTGTTCTGGCTTTTTCGGCTTCCGGACGCTCCAAGACGGCCCAAGAGGCCCCCAAGACCGCTCCAAGACGGCCCACGAAGCTCCCAAGACGGCGCCGAAACGACCCAAGAGAGCCCTCAAGACGGCCCAAGTGCCGCCCAAGACGGACCAAGAGGCCCCAAGACGGGCCCAAGAGGGACTCAGGAGGGATACCGAGAACTCAAAAATGGAGCCCTCCGTCCCAGAAGGCGCCCAGGAGGTCCCAAAGAGGCCCCAAGAGGCCTCCAAGAGGCCCCAAGATGTCGCCAAGAGGCCCCAGGAGACTCCCAGGAGGCCCAAAAGAAGCCCCAGAAGGCTTCAAACATGTCTCCCAGGCGCCCCCGAACGGCCTCTCAACAGACCCCAAGAGGCCCCCCAAAGAAGCATCTTGACGACGACTCTATTTCGCCCCATCGAGAGACGACCCCCAGGGAACTGCTTCACCATCAAAACTCCCCACGCAACGCGTTCGAACGACACCCGCCCCGAAGAGCGCAACATGGGCAACGAACACACAGACAAAAACCAGCGATGCCATATCACGGGCCGGCGGAATGAGCGAAGCGATTCAATAATCGCTCCTGCAAGGGCAGCCTTTAAGGAAACGCGAAGGAAGGAATTCAGCAGGGCAGGATTGTAAAGTAAACGCCCAGGGACTGTTTCTCCTTTTCTCATCCGAGTTCCCAGAGGCCTCCAGAGTCCTCCATAAGCCCACAAAACGCCACCCAAACATCGGGCACACACAAGCATGGATCAGGGATCAGTGGATCTGGCGCGTGGCCGCCAGATCCACGGATCGGGGAAGGTACCCCCGGAATCATGAGGCCAACCCCGCCTCGTTCGGCGACCTTGCCATCGCTCGGACGTCCATTCCCGGTGCTTTTGTTCGGTTTCGTGCGCTTATTGTCCGCAGGATGATCGAAGATGCTCCTTGATGGCCCTCGCGACAGAAATTGGGCCCGGCGGCCGCAGTAACATGCAGTCGTCTTTCGTCGAAGACACGAGGCGTGATACCACAGGAGCACCGGCACACCTTGGGCGTGGCAGACGCGTCAAGCAGGCTGCGCGAGGCGGGCCGGGAGCTCTTCGCCCCAAACCTCAGCTGCCCCAGCCTGTCGGGTGAGGAAAAAACCTCCTGGAACCTCAGAGGGCCTCCCCCCTTCGCGTGCGGGCGAGCGAGCGCGCCGAAGGAGGGCGCGCAGACGCACGAGCGCCTGGGGCGGCGGAGGCGGGCGCGGCGCGGGGCGGCGGCCTGTGATCCGCAGGCGCGGGGGCCTTCATGCTGCCGTTCCAGCCGAACGGGCCCGGGAGGCCGCCCCAGTCGCCTTCGCAGGGCGAACGTTGGCGGCGCCCACGACGGGGGCATCCAAAGGCAACGCCTTTTCCATTTCCATGCCTGGGCTGCGCGCACATGCGCGCGAGGGGGGGGCCGGCGGCGCCTGCTCGGCGGGATGGCGACGCCGGCAGAGATTGGCCGTCCCTCTGGTTCCCGAGAACCGTTCGTTCCGGCCGGGTGCCTAGTGCCACTTTCCACCGTGTCGGGTGGTACGCTCGGGGTGTCAGGGCAAGGTCAGGGGGGATAGGCTCAGGGGGGGCGCATGGACCCCCAGTCGCCCATTCATCGCCGGGAGGGGCCCGATAGCCCTCCCCGCCCTGGAACGTGCAGTTTCGCTATCGGAGACCTGTCACCGATCTATCGGTGATGTGTCGCCGATTCTAGGTCGATGCTTTCCCCGCCCGAGCGTGTCCCCCTAACGTTGCCCAGCACATTGGCGGTACGCACGAATGAGGTGGCGCGAGGGATCGACCTTCTGAGAAGGCGGGGGGCGTGGACTTTCTTAGCAGCGCCTGGAGGCTTCTAAGAAGGCTCCTGGGAAGCTGGGAGGGCTTCTAAGAGGCCACCTGCCTTCGGAGGGCGAACAGCGGATCGAGTGTCGCGGGAGGTGGCCCTGGCCCGAGGTGCCCCCCCCCCCAAGACTTCACTGGCCTCCAGAGTACACCTCGCCAGGCTCCGGGGGGGGCCAATGGTGGGGTCCAGACAAAATGGGCCGAAAGACTGGGAGCACCTGGGGCCAGGGCCACTTCTGGCAGCCCGCAAGCGGACGGTGGCATGGGCCCCCGCAGCGGCGGATACAGCCGCCGCACGTCGCCGAGAAGAGGAGGAGGAGGAGGAGGAACGGAAGGGAGGAGAGGATGAGGAGAAGAGGGAGGAGGAGGAGGAGGAGGAGGAGGAGGAGGAGGAGGAGGAGCGGAAGGGAGGAGAGGAGGAGGAGGAGAAGAGGTGGAGGTGGAGGTGGAGGAGGAGGTGGGAGAAGGAGCGGAAAGGAAGAGAAGGAAGGAACGACATAACCAAAGAAAACTGAATACGGAACGACAAATGTTCTTGTTCTGGCCACGGCCTACCTCGGCCGCGAAGACGCTCCCGCACCGAGATCTATGCAACGGCTCGGAAACCCGAGCCCCTCCTCTGAGCCCAGAGTGGTCCTTGTCTCGGGGTCTCAACTCCAGACGAAACAGGATCTGTATACACATAGGCTTTGGGAGCGCGGATTTCTCAGGGTGGCACCCCTGGCGTCGCTGGAGGCGCGCGGGGCAGCACTCAAAAACGCCGCCAGGGGGGCCTGGGCCGTTCCGAGAAATCCGCGCAGACCTCCAACTGTCTCGATGTGCATGCAGATGCTCCCCTTCGGGAGAAGAGAAGGAGGAGGAGGAGGAGGAGGAGGAGGCACGACGACGACACACTGCTCGCCGATGAGGTACACGTGAAAGTGGCCGTCGGCGCCCCCTGGCTGCGAGAAGCAGGTGTCCTGCCCGCGCGCTCCCTCGCGGCCGCCGCCTCCCTCGCCGCCGCCTCGTCGTCGTCGTCGCCGCTGTCATCCTCATCGCAAAACCTTCAGAAGGAAGGGAAAGCGGCACGAGCATAATTTGTCAGAGGTCCGCGCAGATAACTTCAGTCGGAGCTGGACCCCCTCCATGGCGCGAGGAGCGCGCCAAAGGTGACGCCGAAAGCGCCGCCAGGGGGTCCCGCGACGGGGGTGCCTTTGCGCCAATCCGGGCGGACCTCCGAAAGTGTATGATGATGCAGTGTGTTCTTATTCGACGCTATCCCTGTCCCTCCCCGCTCCGCCCTTCCCCACCTCCCCAGAGTGCAACTCTGGAAGCTTGGCGCCGCTGCAGTCCGCCTCATCCTGCTAATCATCCTTCCCCCTTCTCTTCCACCTCTCTCCTCTCCCTCATCTCCCTCCTCCTCCTCCTCCTCCTCCTCCTCCTCCTCGTTCTCCTCCTTTTCCTTCTCTCCTGCTCCCTCTCCCCCTACTCCTCTCCCCCCCTACCCCTAAGACGAAGGCAAGATGAGGACAAAGTCGGATGAGGATAAATCGGGAACCTCCGAGAACTGGCGGGTCTGTCGGATACACTGGGCACCGCGGCCGTTCCAGAGCGTCCCTCAAAGCTGCTGTGAGAGCGCTCTGGAACGCTCAGGAGCAATTTATATGTATCCGCAGCTCAGGCCTTGAGGGGGAACGATCGAGGGAGACCAGGTCAGGGTGGAAGCATCGAGCAGCAGCATGCAGCGGCGATACACGGCCGATAGATCGGCGACACCGCGCCTTCCTGAGGGTGGACCCTCAGGCCCCCAACAACGATGAATGGGCGATCGGGGCCGATGCGTCCCCCCATGAGCCTGTCCCCCACCAACGTGGTCCCTGAAGCCTGCCCGAAGACCCCCCCGGGGAGATTCCAGAGCATGATATCCACCCTTCCTAGTCATCATTGATCGCCCACCTAACGTTGCCCCTGAGGCATGCCTTTGGCACGAGGCCCCTCAAGCCCTCCCCACGACAATTGTTCGTCCTGAGCCGTATTCCGTCATTCCAGGGGACCGTTGAGGGCGCTGGGAAGCCACAGACGGCGAAAAACCTCGAGACCCATTTTCCCTCAGGACCCGCTTCATGGCGACTGCCTGAAGACCTCCCTCCCCCTTCTGCGGCAACTCATGGGAGCCTACGATACCCTCTTGTGGGCTCTTGCAAATCGGCGCCAATCGACGCTGATCGACACTAATCGACGCTAAGTCAGCACTATCTCATCGATAACGAGGCGCTAATCGACGCCAATGCACTCCAAAGACATAATTGCGAGGGTAGAAGGCCCTCATGATTTGCTACCCAACCACCCCCCCAAGCTGGGGGCGCAGCTCCGGAAGCTGGGCACCGTTGTAGTCCGTGGCCAGCTGCGGCATCGGCGGGATCTGCGCGCGGGCCGCGCGCAAAGCGCTTGCTCCGCCCGAAGCCGGGCTCGCTGTGCACGCCGGGTGCACCGCGAGGACGCGCCCACACAGCAGGCTTGTGCCGCGACGACGCCTACGACGACGACGACGACGACGACGACGCTGACAACGGCGGCATCGTCGTCGACGGGGACGGCGGAGACTTCGGAGACGACGACGACGACGTCTACGGCAACCGCGACGAGGACGACGACGGCGACGACGACTATTGCCATGGCTACGACGACGTCTCCGGCCACGACGACGACGACGTCGACGACTGCGACGACGACGTCTATCTACGGCCGCGTCGATCGCAACGAGGGCGACGTCGTCGATGGCCACGGCAATAACCACGACGACGACGACGCCGACGACGACGACGACGACGACGGCGGCGGCGGCGGCCGCGGCAGCGCCAGCGGCACGCGATGACATCGGGCTGGTTTCTGACTCCGCGCTGATCGATCGCGGCTCTCCGGTAGGGCAGGAGGAAGAAGGGAGAGGAGAAGGGGGAGGAGAGGAGAGAAGAGCGGAAAGGAGGAGTGTAAGGAAGGTGGGGGCAAGGAGGCAGATGGAGAGAGGAGGGTGAGGAGAAGGGGCGATGGGCACCGATAGTTAGGGGGACGAGCATCGACCTGGAATCAACGCTACATCGCCGATGTATCGGCGTTAGCCCCCGATAGTGAAACCGCAAGCTCTCGGGCATGGTGAGCTGTCGGGCCCCGATAGGCGATCAATGGTCGACTAGGGGTCGAAGCATTTCCCTGGGGCCTGCTACCCGACATCAATCAACGTGTCTCCACATATCCACAATCCGACCTAATACGTATGCGGAATCCTCTGGGAGGCAGCACCGACTGGTTCGTAGCGCAGGGCTTGGCGTCGAAGCTAAACTGTGAGATGTATGCATGAAATGAGCAATGAGGGGCGAGACGAGGAGGAAGGACTATGAGGACGCCCCACCCCCCCTGATGCAAGCCCGTCGGGCTTCCAGGGTACAGCCCCAGCCCGAGGCCGGCGCGGCGGTGGTCGCGGCAGCTCAGCCAGTGCGAGGAAATGCCGACGACGAACGACAGCGACGGCGAGGACGACGACCGACGACCACGACGACGACGACGACGGCGACGACGACGACGACGACGACGACGACGACGGACGACAGGGACGGCGAGGACGACGACTGGGAGGACCACGACACAACGACGACAAACGACGGCGAGGACGACGTAAGCGAAGAGGGCAACGGGGACGATGGCGACAGCGAGGACCTCGGCGAGGACGACGGCAGCGACGACGACGGCAGCGACGACGACGACAGCGAAGACGACGGCAGCAACGACGACGACGACGACGACGACGACGATGGCGACGGCGAGGGCGTGGGAAGCGGCGGCGGGCCTGGAACCGGGAGGTGCAGCCCTCCCCGCCCTGGGCCGCAGGGGGGGGGAGGAGCGGGGGAGAACGGCGAGGGCGGGGCGAGAGAGGGCCGCGGGGTGGGGAGCGAAGGTCGCGTTGGACGAGTGAGAATCAAACGATGAAATAAACATCACAACTCGGAGGTCCGCGCGGATATCTTGGATGTGCGCTGGGCCCCTCTCCCTGGCGCGCGGGAGGAGGGTTCAGCGCCGATCCAAAAAATCCGCGTGGACCTCCGAATTGTTATGTCTATGCCATTGTTTTTTCCCCAGAGTGGAGGGGTCCGTAAAGGGGGGATTAGCGAATCAACCAACGTAGCTGGCTTTCCCGCCGCATCCCGGTGCCGCAGGCGCCAGTGTATCGAAGAAGGCGCCCGGCGGTGAGGCCGACACAAGGTGTATGCAGCAGGTGTCTGGTGTCGAACACCCCCACCCTGTCCCTACGCCCCACTTTCACCCGCCTGAGCGGGGGGAGGCGGGACAGGGCGGGGGCGAAGTAGAGACTAGGCGTGATCTGGACTCGGGTACAGAAAGGCCCCTGCCCTGGTTGGCGGACTGGCCCGGAGGCTGCAGGGTGAAGGGGAGGAGGATCTTGTAGGTCGCCTGCTTCGCGCCTCGCGCCCCTCGATGCGCGGTGGTAACCGCACAATCGCGCCCTCGAGCCACCACTCTGGGGAAGGGCAGCTCTCCAGTCCAGACTGCGACGCGCGAAAACCGATCAAATGGGGAAAGAGGGCCCCGTAGAATGAGGGGGGGGAGGAGCAGGAGGAGGAGGAGGAAGAGGAGGAGAAGGAAAAAGGAGGAGGACGAGGAGGAGGAAGGGGAGGAGGAGGAGAAGGAGGAGGAGGAGGAGGAGGAGAAGAAGGAGGAGGGGGACTGGAGTAAGCCCAAAACGCATCACAGATGCTGCAATACACACTCTCGTGACTCTCGATTGAAGCCTGAGGGCAACGTTGAGGGGGACCGCCTCGGGGTTGGACATTGAGCTGCAATCGGCGATACATCACAGGTGAATCGGCGATGGGGCCCCGATAGCGACTCCGCCCGTTTCCTGAGCGGGATAGGGCTATCAGGCCGCATCGGGATGAATGGGTGAGTGGGGGTCGATGCATCCCCCCTCCCCCCCGAGCATGTTCCCCCCTAGCGTTGCCCCTGGGAGTCCCACTGGGGAAGGGACGGGGAAGGGGACGAGAAACGCTTGGAGTACGAACGAGAAGGCGAGAAGTCCCGCCTCCTGGGCTGTACCGAACAGTTCGAATGGCATGTCTTGGATAGAGGAAGAAACAACTGTACGAACAGAAATAGAAAACCTTCGGAACTCCCATCCCCGACGGGATGCAGCTCCCAGCCCCCAACTCCCAAAATGTGCCAAGCTGCAGGGCCTTACCCTGCCAGGGCGACGGGCCACGCGGGCGGGTGGAGGGAAGGGGGACAGGGCTACGAGGGAATGAGCATGGAGGACTGGGGGATCGACGGCAAGGGCGAGGGCTGGGGGAGGAGCAGGGGGCAGGTGGAACGACAACGGGAACGTAGGAGGAAAACAAGTTCGTGGATGAGGTGGAATGGGGCAGGAGGAAGTGAAAAGGGAAAAAGAACGGGCGAAAGGAATGGACTCCCTCCTCCTCCTCCTCCTCCTCCCTCTCCTCTCTCTCTCCTCCTCCTCCTCCCCCCCCCTCCTCCTCCTCCTCCTCCTCCTCCTCCTCTCCCTTTCCTCCTCCTCATCCTCTTCTTCCTCCTCACGTTCCTAATCAATGTGTCGATCCTCCCTCTCGACCCCCCTGCCGTGTCGGCAGGGTGGGCCTGGCGCTTGGTATGAGGCTTCCTCATCATGTGTGATCCTGAGGCTTGAACTGTGCGACAGAGGCGGCGAAAGGGGGTCCGGGGCAACGGGCAAGCCTAATTAGCTACCAGGCGCAGCGCTAGCCGGTCGGGCCAACCATCAGAGGCAGCAGCTGCGGGCAGCGGCGGCGGGGGGCTGACTGGCTGAACTGCAACGCCCATGGAAGCTCAAGCATCATGCAGACCTGTGGCAAAATGCGTGGGAGTTCCAAACTGAACGCCGCGGCGCCAGTCCACCACGGTGTAGGTGCCATGCTGAGTCAGAGAGTGTCCTGCACGCACTATCCGCACAAACACTGTAGCAAGTGCAGGCCAAGTACAAACTGGTCATGTCGCCAGAGGGCGCCAAGGGCCAGGGCAGCGTCGACGGCGCAAACCCGCCTGGTAGGCTGGGACGGGTCGAGGATGGAAGCACAGCGTCTGCAGGAAGGCTGGACCACTCCGCGACGCTACACAATTCCCCCGTGGTGGACGCCAGTGCCGAGCAAGCAGCATAGACCCAGCCCGGGAGGCGACAGCACCTGATGGCCCGGCCCGGGGTCACGACGTGAGCGCCGCAGAGAACCGCGTATCGCGCGGGGAACAAGCCTGACTGGCGGGAATGGACGTCGCCAGTGCGGCCCGGAAGGTGACGCCAGAGGACGACAGCGCCAGGGGGCGATCACCCACGTACGATGCGGGGCCACGGGGTCCTCGGCAAACCGCCCTGCCCGCGTGGGACCCTCCTGCGGTGGGGGCGGCGGGTACTGACATCACCAACCGGGCACGTGAAGGGGCCCGCCAGGGACTCCCGGTGCCAGGAGAAGGGAGAGGGAGAGACGCGGGAGCCAGGGAGCGGCTGACGGCCGCACGGATTCGCATGGAAGTTCACGTCCACTGGACCGTGCGGGGGCACGACTACCTCGGAGAGGTGGGACTGGGCGGTGAGCCGATGCTCAGAGCCCGTCACTCACTGCGTCCGGGCCGTGCTGCCCCCGAGCATCCCGTCTCCAGGACGCTGTATGAGCTGAGCTTCCCATCGGGCAGCTCTGTCTACTGTCGTCCTGCGGGTCCCCTGTGTCGGTGGCCTGCCGGCAGCACTGTACCTGTTACTGATGCACATGTTACCAGGGGTATAGCTGACGGCTGCAATAGTTTTAACATAAACCAGGGGGCAGCTGACGGCTGCAACAAGAGAGTACTGGGACGTTCCCCGGAAGCTGCCGCGCTCAGGCCTTGTTCATGGGCCCGCTTGCAGCGCCGGGGCATTGTCCCACGCATGACACGCGGCCGTCCGGCTGCCAGGGTCTGCCGGGATCCCAACGGGCGCCGGTGGTGTGGTCAACCTTCGGACGAGTGCAGGACCCTACCCGTCCTGAGGGTTGAAAAATTCAGCACGGAAATCAGCAACTGCCTCATTTGTCGTCTCATCGGAGGGGTGCGGCGCGAATACATAGCGGGGCAACTGATTGGGGCAGGCCGGGCCGAAATAGAGACATGAACAAATATTGAAATATCTCGCGCTCCACCCGCGGCAATCCCCCGTTCGCGACGGCGACGACTTGACCAGTTCCAGCCGCCACGGGCGGAGGCGATTCGTCCTGTCGGAGAGTTTGCAGCCCCTCTGCTTCACGCGCCGCCTGTCGACTTGGCCTGCCGCGGCCGCGCCGTCCAGGAGCGAGGCCGACGCCCATTCCACGCAGCGCGCCCGCGAGCACATCAGATGGTGAAACTGCGGGGCAAGGTGGTGAAACAACACTTGGTTCGTGCGAGCCAAAAATGATACGGAAGCGTTCGAACCCCATGGGGCTAGACAAATCGGGCGCGCAACTAATCCCACCAGCCTTCTGGGCGCAGGTGGTTCAATGAGCGTCCTCTTCCAACCGCCTTCTTCCCCTTCGGGGAGGGGTTCACCTCTCCCCCAACCCCCCCGCTGGACCTGGACGGGGGGGCGCGAGCGGCCAGAGCGTCCAAGATGGTGAATTGCTGTTCCAAGAGGAGCTCAGAGAGCCCAAGATGACTATCAAGATGGTTCCAGATAGCTTACGATGCCTCAACACGGTTCCGAAGCTGCTCCAAGAGACCCCAAGGCCGCTCCAAAACGGGCCCAAGAGGCATCCGAAGACGCCAACATCCTTCAAACACCGAAGGGACATCAATGTGTGTTTGCTGTCTCGCCCGTTCGCTTCCGATTGCCATCCGAGGCCTCAAGGTGGCTCCAAAACGGCCCAAGAGGGCCCCGACAGAGGCCCACGGGAGCCCCACGAGCGCCCAAGAGCGCTCCAAGAGCGCCCCGAAAGGGGCCAAAGAGGTGATGTTGGGCGCCCCCAATGGGACGCGAATTTAGGAACCCGCCTTTTTTTGACAGATCTCCCCCAAGATGGCCCCAAGAGGCGCCCAACCCAAGAGGCGCCCAGGAGGCCCCGCGAGGCTTACAAGGTGGCCCCAAGAGGCCCCCAAGAAACCCCAAGAGGCCGCAAAGAGGCCCCCAAGAGCCCCCCCAAGACGACCCCAAGCGGCACCGGGACCCCCCCCCCCCCCCGAAGCACCCAAGACGCCCAGGAGCCCCCCTTGACCGCCAAGAGACCCCCAAGACGCCCGAAGAGGCCTCCAAAAGGCTTCCAAGAGACATCCGAGAGCCATTCAAGGTGCTTCTGGCTATTTTGCTGGTCCTCGTCATCATCCTTTTTCTCCTCCTCCTCCTCCTCCCCCTCCCCTCCTCGTCCTTTTCCTCCCTCCCCTCCTTTTCCTTATTCTCCTCATTATCCTCCTTCTCTCCCCTGTCCTCCTTGCTCGCCCTCCTCGTCCTCGCCCTTCCGACGACGACGAATCCTCCTCCATCTTCCCCCTCTTGGGGTATTTGACAGCTTCTCCCGCGCTGTGTTGTTGCATGCCCCCCCCCCGGCCCTCCGCTTCCCTGATGGCCTCAACTCTCCTGGACATCGTTTCTGGATGGGCTGGTGGGGGTACGCGAAGCGTCAACAAGGCGACAAAACCAGAAACGCCACCATTGACTACCAAACATATCGCAACCGCCATGCAATCGAAATTCAACCACAATGCAGCTGCAACGCAATCGCAACGCAACGACCATGGATGGACAAGTCACGTGGCGCGTGGGCATCGTTAGTACCTGTGGCCAAGCGCAACGGAATCGCAATGCAGCCGCTCGTGGCAGCTCAAAGGATAAACAGG